TTTATAAGCACGTGTGCTGTAAATCAGCCCCAAAAACTTAAAAAACTTTCTAAATAATAAGGGTCTGTAAGAATTTTGAAAGTTGTCTGCCTACATCTGTACCCTCCTTCCCATCCTCACTCATGATTCACAGCATCCTAATTTTTGTCTCTTTTTATTACCAATCTAAATTTTAAGCCCAAAGCCTGTCTCTGAAACACTTAAGCAATTGAGAGCATGTTTGTTTTTTTTTCTGAAATTGCCTGGAAGAAACTGGCTGACTTAAAATAGGAAACATTAAGAAATGACTTGAAAGTCCAAATAATTGCCTAACTTCATATTTTATTTAATCATTTTCAGTACTCAGCAAATGCATCAGCCTTAGATGGATTCAATTTGGAGTTAGAAACTCAAGTTTTCCCCCTTTCAATAGGAATTTAGAGTTGATTTGCTGGCAGTTGGCCAGAATAAAAAGAAAGAGTCGAATGAATCAGCAGGCAAGTCCCCCATTCTGGGTTCAGTTTATTTGATGGTCAACATTTTCCTCTTTTTCTTATTGTTTCTTGGAAGACATTCTCCCCTGGATCTCTGAATCATCTAGAGAAATGAACTGGCCATGAATCACGTGCACACAAATCATCCTACACCCAGGGTCCCTTGACCAGTATACCCAAAGCACTCAGCTCTCTGCCCTGGATGAGACTCGCAGCAGGTGAGCCTGGGAAGACACCGTACCCCAGGCTGGGGGCCTTGTGACCCCATGGCAGTTGGTGAGGGAGCCAGATGCCAGGGACCTGCAGTACAGTGGGGCATCTGGCAGGTTTCCTCACTCCTCAGGGGGTTTTCTGGTCTTTTAAAACAATATACATATAGATTATACATATATAGGTTATACCTGAAGTGCTGGGCTAATAAAAACAATGTCAGCCTACAGAAAGAGATCCAAGAACCTGGTAAATAATTTATGATAAAACACCACTGCAATCCTACATAGGAGATCAGTGATGGCCTCTTTTCTCTGACCTGTTTAGTAATTTCCTCGTGTTTTTTTTTTTAATTGTAAAGGAAATAGTATTCACTGTAGGTAATTTGGAGACTATAAAAAGCCACAAAAAAGAAAATGAAAATCACTCGTAATTCTATCACCTGAGGATGAACACTGTTAACACTTGATATCTGTTTCTCCAGTCTGCTTTTCTAACATATCTGTATTTATATTTTATTAGATGTAAATTGAAATTACAAAATACATGATGTTTGCAACCTGTTTTTCTTTTAATGCGTTGTATTTCCCGAATCTTTAAGTATTCTTCAAAAACATAATTTTAACACCCTCCACAGTACTCACTCACTACTATAAAAGGTAGTGTGATCAGCATTCTTACCCATAAATCTTCCCTCGGTATCTCTGCATGTTTCCTTAGGCCAGCAGAAATTATTTTGTTCTTGTTTCCTTTCTTATTGTCTGACTCTCCACACTCTCATGACAGCTCCTTAGAAATAAGGACTTGTCACTCTGTTGCTCAGACAAGGCAACATAGTAGATGCTGGATTAACACTGGGTGAGTCAAGGCCGTCTTAGTCATGGGAATTTAGCCGATTCTTTCCAGAAGTGGAATTCTCAGCTCACAACGTGTGCATTTGCCTGGCTCAGTTGCCTGCCTGAAATGCTGTGGGAGTCCCCACTCTCACTGATCTGGATGGAAGTGCCCACCTCTGTGGACACTTGCTAACGCATATGTCTTTTGGTCTGTAAACCTCTCAGTGAAAAAAATGATATTTTATTTCAATTGCTAGTGATCATGTGTTTGTTGGCCCTTTAATTCTTTAATTAAAGTGGTTGTCCTGTTGCTTGCAAAATATTACTCTTTTGTCTGTCTTGCACTAAAAAAATCTTTTTTTTTCCATTTTGTCATTTTCTTTTTAATACTGTAATTTTTTTTTGGATACATAAAAATTTAAAATCTTACCGATCCACTTGATCAATCTTTTCCTTGGATGTTTTGGCTTTTGTTTCTGTGTTTATAAAGGCTAGGCCCCAAGAACAAACAGAAATTAGTCCCTTTTCTTTCTTGTTCCTTTATGATTCCTTACATCTAGATTTTTAATTCATCTGGAATTTTTTTTGATACCTTGTATTGATCTTGCTTTTTTTTTTTCCGTGTTAGCCAGTTGTTTCTACAGCATATACCAAATAGCCCATTCTTTCCCTCATTTTTCAAATGCTACCTGTATCAATTGTTAAAATCTCATATACTCTCAAATTTATTTCTGAGCTTTCTGTTTTGTTCCATTTATCTGACTACTTTTGTACCAGCACCAAACCATTATATTGTATTTCTACACCTAATAGTGCAAACGGACTGTCATTATTCTTCCTCTTCAAAGTGTTCTTGGCTGTTTTTACCAATTTATTTTTCTAGGTCAGAGGTCAGCAAACTTTCTGAAAATAGCCAGATAGTAAATGCTGGGGGCTCTGCAGGCCATTGTCATTGCTACTCAGCTGTGCTTCTGTAGTACAAAGTAGAAATAGACAGTAATAAACAAGGCTGTGTTCCAGCGAAACTCATTTATAAAACAGGCTGTGGGGTGATTTGTCCTGAAGGCCTTAGTTTCCCACCCCCTGTTCAAGATGAATTTTTGAGTCATTGTGTCAAATCTTCCCATATTCTTACCTCCCTCACATATACACAAATAACATTTGTGTGTGAGTATATGTGTGTATGTGTATACATACTAATAAATACTTTTTGTGTATATATTACATTATATATATGGAAGGAAAGAGGAATTTGGTTAATATGACATCATACTTACAATGATGTGGGAGAAATGTGACATCTTGATAAAATAGGGTCTTTCCCTTGGACAGCATCAAGCATTCCTTTATGTCCAGCACCAAAATTGTATGGTTTCTTTCACAGAGGTCCTGCCAATTTCTGGTTAACTTTAATCTTTGCGTTGTTTTTCATTGTAGTTGAAACTGTGACTGGGATCTGTGTTGGGGATCCCACGGCCCCCCACCTGTTCCATGATTCGCTAGAAGGATCACAGGACTCCAAGGCAGTTGCATTCAAGGCTCAGCAAGGGGAAAGACCCATCAAGCGGGTGGGAGGAATCTGTGCACAGACAGGCTCCCCATTGGCTGCCTCCCAGCAGGAGGGCTCACCCAGGTCCTTCCTCCCCCTACCACCCCCTCAAACGCAACACCGTAATTCTCCTGTCTCCACTTCTAGCTTTCATCTTACTTCCAGATAATTTCCTTTCAGGTATGCAGAATGTACTTTGCATTCACTGGGAGAACGTGATGCAGTGCAGGGTGGCTTGCAGAGGGCAGGCTCACTGCACTGACCTGGGTCCCAGAATTAAATCCCATAGGCTGAAGCCTTCCTTGGGAATGGTTTTTCTCCCCTGCTTCTTTATGGAAACTCTTCTCTGTAGTGAATCATCAGAAGTGTTCATCTCATTCAGCTCATTCCAATCAAAGAAACTGCTTTGTTGCAGTGTGAAGAATCTTGAAAAGCCTACAGACTCTGGATGGTAAATCTCAAGCCCTTCTTAAGACAGGCTTAACATAACCTGTTGGAAGAGGCTGGTTCTCTTTGTAGTTTGGCCCTGCTTTTACCAAAAAGGCTAAAGGAAACAAAGCTGCTTCTGCAGGTGGGGTTCAGCAATCTGTTTCCACACACCCCACCTTGGCTGGCCCAGGAGTACCCACACTCCATGCTGATTCTGTAACCTTCTCACCCTCTCTCAATTACCGTTTTTTTCTCCAGGGCTCTGGCCTCCTAGAGGCTAAGGGGCGGCTGGAATTTTAATTGTTTCATAACCCCGAAATTCATCCGGTAAATGGCACTCCCTGGCCTTCTGTAAGTGAGGCACTTTGAATGTAAACAGAACTGAATTCATTACCTTAGGTCTGACCCTGATGTAAGTGACTTGTGTGGGAGCCTCCTTCCCAGGCTGTTTGGGCAGGGGGAGTTGCAGCAAAGGAATGTGCAGAGAGGCTCTGAGCCCCCTTGAGATGAACTCCCAGAGGATCCAAGGTTCCAGGTCTGTGCCTGGTGCCTCATGTAGGGCAAGGCTGCGGATGGGAGGGGGCAGCTGTCAGGGAGAACCCCTTCCCTCTCACAGGCTTGCTGGGGTCTGAATGAGAACCGGCAAGTCTTAAACTTTCCAAACTGCCTTCTCCTGGCTTGTCTCAGGATTCCGTTCATCTTTTCAGGTTTCACATACTCTCCCCTAGGATGCTTCTCGATCTGCTGGCCAGTTCTTTCAGTCTTCATAGCTTACTTTAGCAGGGACTGTCTTGGCTCCCTGCTATTCCATTTCAGACATCCCTGATCCTTTTATTTATATTCATGTTTGTATTTCAGACACATTTCTTGCTGATAGGAGGCAGAGGTGCACTGCACCGTATGTAAAACTAGGCAGGGACCCAGCCCACTGAAGGGACACAGCCACAGCCACGTCACATGAATAACTTATGGACTTAACAAGAACTTGAAGATGTAGGTTTAGTCATGAATTGAAGGGGGCTGCGTTGCAACCTGGATTAGGTTTTCTCCATAAACACAGGCCACCCTTCTCTCCCTTCCTACCACTGTGTTATCTGGTCATTTACCCATAGGCACTCAGGAAGCACCAATTAATTTTGATATTTGCCCCCCAAAAACGTAATTATCATGGAAGGTAAAGCAGCTCCAGAAATATTACATATCTGTTTTCAAAACTTTCTACCATCTTCCCCCCACTATTATCCACAAATTATCCAAACCACCCTCCCTTCTCATTAAACTGAATAATTGAGGAATACTCCAAATACAATCATGAGGGTTCAGAGGCCTAGCCAAGCCTATTCAACAGCATTTAAACATTGACTCTAAGTGGTTCCTTGATTCCAGTGGAAAAAAAAAAAGTGCCTCGGTCCATTGTGTGTATCCCCTACCAGTGGGGATGGTGTGAGCCTGGTGCCTGCATGTGACCCCTCTGTAACAGAATGTCCCTTGGATCTATTTCAGAGTTCCCTGAAAAGAAGAGGCAGCCGGGAAACGTACAAAGAAAAGAAAACCCTTAACCAGGTAAGCAGAGGGATCCTTCTCATGTTACAGCTCCTCAAGGGGCAATCACCTTATTCTGAATTGTCTCAAAAGCATTAGAATTGCCTTTAAAATATTCAAAGAAACATTACTTGCCAAAAAATGGGGACTCACTCAAAACCTCCACGGGGTGAAAACGTTCACTCTAAACCACCAGCTCCTCTGTTTTGTTTCTCACACTGATGAGCTGGTGACGTCTTCAAGAAAGACAAGAACAAACGGACTCTGTGAAACATAATTTGGTGTAATTCAGGGCTCTCTGGTAGTACTCACAACTGGTGAAATGTATTCTGGCTTTCAAAGTCATTCACACAGTAAAATAATACAGCTACTGTGGTGTTGGGTCATTCATAAGGCATTGTTTTCAGTGTTGGGTTGTTTTTTTGGGGTTTTTGTTTTTGTTTTTGTTTTAATGTGCAAGCTGAACAGTATCCCAAACTGTCCTAATTGAACGTGCAGTGTTCTCTCCGGGGGATGGTAAAAGCATCAGCCTTTCCGTGTACACAGTTTGTGTTCTGCAGAAATGCCTGAGCTCTTCTGAACACTTGCTTTACTAGATTCCTTACTTTTTTTTTTTTTGGAAAAAAAATGAATGCTGCTGGTATTAGGTATCAGAGAGAACAAAGGCAGGAGTGGGTGTCAGCTCCCCGAGCTCTCAGAGCAAGTAGTAATTAGAGAGGCGCAAGAAGTCCGGGTAACAAGAGCTCCACCCTCGATCTGCTTTGTTGTGCCCTTAGCCAAACTCACTGATGCCCGGAATGTCCTTCAAGGAGGACTGGGCCATGGGAACAGTAGGAATGCCCAAGATTAACCTTTCTTCTCTGCCCTCGCTCCTCTCCTTATCTCACTTGGCGCCCGCTAATAACGGGGAAATAAAAAACTGCAGTCCCTGGGCTGGGGGCTTGGAACCTCCTGGGCTTCGAGGATGTCTCAGCTTCCTGGCTCTTGAGCAGGGCAGATCTCCCTTAGGAGGGTAAGCACTTCCCCGTTCCGGACTGAGTGGCATGGCGCCGCGTTCACCAGGGGGTCGCTCGGGCTGAGAACGGCCGCCGCTGCCCCTGGCAGGCTCTCAGAACTCCTCTGGGCACCGGGAATGTGTTACGTTCCCCCTCCGCCTGCGCTATCATTGAGAAAAAGGAGTATTCTGTCCAGCAGAGTGGTGGACCCGAGCGCCTTGGAAACTGCAGGTCTGCAACCAAAACTCAAAGGAAACCAGCAGCACCCCGGCACAAGGTAGGAATGCGAGTAGTCAGCGCTTGGGGTGCTGGCTAGATGTCAGACTTGCAAGCCAAAGAATATATACCCAGAGCGATATATTTTTGCTGCTTGACAAGGCCTTTCCAGCTGCTGGTGGTGGTGGTGGTGGTTGTGTTGGTGGTGCTGGTGGTGGTCCCCTGTGTGTCCTCCTCTCCGTGCTGTGCTTGCCTTCTCTGCCTGTGACAGGACCCGTGTGGTGTGGAAAGTTGGGATCGTCTGCTTTCATACTGCATTCCCGGAGCTATCTGATGATCTCTTGAAACCAGAGCTTGATATCCTTCAGCTTAGGATTCAGCCTAGACCCCTCCTCTGGAATTTTGGCAGGGTTTTAGAAAGTGTGTGGTTACAAGATTAGATGGGGACCCAGCCTCCTGCTACTCCAGCTGAGGCTGTGATTCCCCATCTTATGAGAAGGAGTGGCCCCCTGCTCCCAGAACAGGCTGAGCCTGGCTCCCTGGGCCTCCTCTCTCCCGCCCCGCCCCTCCCCCGCCGGGCCCTGGCAGGCGCAGCGCCCAGCTCCAACCGCCTGGACCAGTGTGAGCAAGTCTGACCCTTTCGCTAAATGCACACACACTCTTGGCTTAAAAGATTGTCTTTGGAAAACTGCTTTAACATTGGTGGCAGGTCTGGTGTCGTTCATGGGTGTTGAGTAAAAACGATAGCATGCTTGAATTGCGTCAGAATTCCTGGTGTATGTGTAGTTTCTGTTTTTAAGGAACAAGAAGACTTTTTGGATACTTTATCAGTCCTCAGGTAATCTATGAATCAGACCCTCCTTAGGGTGTGTTGTAGAATCTTCTTTAACGGACTGGGGTCTAGCTAGGTTCAGGAAGAAGGAAGAGAACAGTTCTGGTTTTAGTCAGACTTGGGAGTGGTGGATGGGGGAGGGGGTTGGAGGTTTAAAGTTTCTAGAAATCAAGGTGATGTGAGGGCTCTTTGGGATTGTCTACCCTGAGCACTTAGAGCTGAGGGTTTCAGAACCATTGGGTAAGGCCGGCGTTCTGCAGGCCACTCAGAGATCCTACCCCTTTTCTCAGTTTCTCAGTTCAGCTTTTGTGGGGAGGACCCTCAGGGAAGATCACCTGAGACTCCCAGATCTTGGTCTGAGACCAAAACCTCCTGAGCTATGCAGGTAATGCTGCCCCTTGTCTGCGCATTTCCAGTCTATTCTCCCACTGACCAGGGCCTCAGGAGCTGCAGGTTTCTATGGAAGTGCGTGGGGTGGGGCATTGATCACAGCAGGTGGTCCTGCCCATTCCTGGGTCTGCCCAGGCTCCAGGTGGGCGGATGGGGGCGTTCCCTTTGGGCTGGCGACATTCTCTTCCACAAAATCAGCTGCTGTCCTCAGGCACAAAGGCGGATTCTGTGCTTCGGGGTGGAGACAGGATCATTTAGGTGATTTTGGACAAAGGACACACCGCTGGCTATGAAGTGGAATGTTGGGGCTGAGGGCATGGGCTGTCTCACATCCTAGGCTTTTCACTCCCAAATTAATCCATTTACAAAGTGTTGACAGTCTGTCTCCATTGGTATTTATGTTTGCTTATTTAAACTCCGTTCCTTCATGTGAACTGCAGAGCCCTCTCTGTATATTTGGATGCGTAGACTTCTTGCAGATCTATGTTTATCAAATAATTGAAAGGGTGCTTTTGATCTGTTCTTGAAAGTTTTAAGGAACTGGGGTCATTTATTTATTTATTTATTTTTAAAGAGTTTTATTTATTTATTTGACAGAGAGACACAGCGAGAGAGGGAACACAAGCAGGGGGAGTGGGAGAGGGAGAAGCAAGCCTCCCGCGGAGCAGGGAGCCCGATGCGGGGCTCGATCCCAGGACCCTGGGATCATGACCAGAGCCGAAGGCAGACGCTTAACGACTGAGCCACCCAGGCGCCCCAGAACTGGGGTCATTTAAAAGTAACGTGCCAGTTTCTGATACATAGTGGATTCTCAGTATTCACTGAAAGAATGAACGAATCAACAAACAAGTATGCTTTACCCTTAGTCTTAGGATTATATACATCTTTTATAGCCCCGTGGCACTGGCTCACAGTTGGCCTTAGATTTTTCCTTGAGTCTTCCCTGTCACATCATTTTTTTTTTTATATGGGTTTGGGGTGCAGGAGGAGAGATCGAGGCAGGGTAGAAGGAAGACAGTTGGGAGGCACCAAGGTGAGTATTTCTGTATCTTGCGACCCAATGGTGAGTGTGCAGCAAGACCATGGCAGAGAATGAGCCCTGTTCTCTGAGTGTGAAAGCTGCCTCTAACTCCCCTAGACCATTTGAACACAAACAATGACCTGAAAGTTCATTCTCCCCCAGTGGGCTGACTTGTTCGGAGACTGGTTTGATGCCTCTCCCTCCCTGGGGGCTGATGGAGTATGGCTACCATGGACCATGTTGTTGAGTCTCTCTGGGGGATGGGGAACCCTTTGCCAAAGTCTTTGTCCCCACAACAGCCTTTTGAAACTTGTGATAGCCAATCAGAGAGGAATGATTCATGAAATCGGTCATTTTTCCCATTCACCGAATGGGACTAGTGAAACATTTGTGCAGGCCCACATCAGAGTTCATATAGTTCCCAGGCATTGAGATCTACCCTGGGAAGGCCCAGTCAGCTTTCCAAACGGTCCATAGCATGCCTCCAGGACCTCAGCCAAGCGGTGTGGCCTTTTAGTAGCAGGGAGTCTGCTTTGGTGACTCTCCAGAGTCCTCTAGTGATTCCAGTGAGAACCTTTTCTCTGGTTCTGAAACCCCTAACTCTGGCCTTGGGTTTCTGGATTTCATTTCCTGCTGTGTTACAGCAAGTAAGGGGGTGGAACAGAAGCAAAGACTCTGACGTTGCCCTTGCCTGGTGAAAGGTTGCAAGTAACCTGGGTGTTAGGTCTGCGGTAACAGTTCATCTTAACCGCAAGAGCGTGGTACTTACTCTACACCACAGCTTCCAAAGCCCCCTCCTGCCTGTTATCCCATGTCCTTGTCCTCGTGTCATCCTTGTGATATGCTGGGGGTGGGGAAACCAGAGGAGGAGTAGAGGTGATTGCCACGTCTCAGTGTCTCAGCAGATCAGTACAATGATCAGGGCCTCCCCATCCTGGCTTACCTGTGGGCTGCTGGCCACTTTAGGTGAGGGAGGTCCACAGTGGAGGAAGTGAGTGGCAGCAGGTAGAAGTAGCTACTGACGCCTGTCAGCTGTACCAGGCTTAGTGAGGGGTTCTGGCATCTCTCACTGGTGCTGGTGATTAGTCGGATTGGACCCACAAAGTAAGGAGGGACCGCCGCGTTGCCAGCAGGCACTGGGTCTCATTTTATTCTGCGTCCTCTGCACTCATCATCTGTACCATGGATTCCATGTGCATGTTTTTCCCAAACGAATTGTTTGGTTTCTTTGGTTTCTGTGACAAAGCCACAGACCATAGGCCTTTGCAGTGTCTGCCCCATGAAGGCCTGGGCTCATGTCGGCATTGTCTTGGCTCCTTTGACCTGGAACTCGACACACTGTTGTAAAGATCATGGTTTGTGTGTGTGTGTGTGTGTGTGTGTGTGTGTGTGTGTTGGGGGCGAGGTGCGAGGGAAATCACCACAAACACGAACATGTGGTATTTTTAAGTGTTCTCTCTTGGCAGGATGACAGTGCTGATTTGAAGTGCCAGCTTCAGTTTGCCAAAGAGGAAGGCTCCCTGATGCGTAAGAAGATGGCCAAGCTGGGGAGGGAGAAGGACGAGCTGGAACAGGAGCTCCAGAAGTACAAGGCCCTGTATGGAGACGTGGACAGCCCTCTCCCCACGGGGGAAGCGGGTGGGCCGCCCAGCACCAGGGAGGCCGAACTGAAGCTGCGGCTGAAGTTGGTGGAGGAAGAGGCCAACATCTTGGGCCGGAAGATCGTAGAGCTGGAGGTGGAGAACCGAGGCCTCAAAGCGGAGATGGAGGACCTGCGGGTCCAGTATGAGCGAGAGGGTACAGGCCGGGACCACATGGCAAGCATTCCTACCTCACCCTTCAGCGACTCCCTGGAGTCCTCGACGGAGCTCCGCCGGCACCTGCAGTTCGTGGAGGAGGAAGCGGAGCTGCTCCGGAGGTCCATATCCGAGGTCGAAGACCACAACCGGCAGCTGACGCATGAGCTGAGCAAGTTCAAGTTTGAGCCCCGGCCGGAGCCAGGGTGGCTGGCGGAGGGCATGAGCAAGGGCGCACCCAGTGGGGCCCCTCTGCAGGAGGAGCTCAAGTCAGCGCGGCTGCAGATCAACGAGCTGAGTGGGAAGGTGCTGAAGCTGCAGTATGAGAACCGGGTGCTGCTGTCCAACGTGCAGCACTATGACCTGGCTGCCCACCTGGGCCTGCGCGCCCCGAGCCCCCGGGACAGCGACGCGGACAGCGACCAGGGCAAGAAGGAGAGCGACGGGGAGGAAGGCCGCCAGCCCCAGCCCAAGCGGGAGGGCCCTATTGGCGGCGAGAGCGACTCAGAGGAGATGTTCGAGAAGACGTCGGGCTTTGACAGCGGAAAGCCGTCGGAGGCAAGTGAGCCGTGTCCGGCCGAGCTCCTGCGGGTCAGGGAGGACACCGAGTGCTTGGCAAGCATAAAGCACGAGGCCGAGCGGCTTGAGCGGACCATGGAGCGCCTCATCACGGACACCGCCGGCTTCGGCGACAATGTGGGGCTGCGAGGCAGTGGTGAGGCCTCACTGGGGCCTGACGTCCAGGGGGCAGGGGAGACGGGGGAGACGGGCGAGACAGGCAAGAAGGAGCCCCCGCTGCTGGGGACCATCAACTCGAGGATGAAGGTTTTTAGGAAGGAGCTGCAGGCCTTCCTGGAGCAGGTGAACAGGCTCGGGGACGGCCTGAGGGAGCGCCTGGAAGACCTCTCCCCCTTGCCCCACCTCACAGAGTCTTCCAGCTTTCTCTCCACTGTGACCTCCGTGTCCCGGGACTCCCCCGTCGGGACCCTGGGGAAGGAGCTGGTCCCGGACCTGCAGGTAAGGGGGCTCCTGGCTCTGCCTCCCTGCTCCGTTTTGCTCTTCCTCCTTCTTGCTGGCATTGCTGCACTTGAACTCATCCTGCTCACAGCTGCTTGGTTATGATTTCAAACCTGCATTGTACTAAAGCCTCAAGCGTCAACCAAATCCTTTCTATTGGTTGGGTTTCTGTTTTTTTTTTTTTTTAGTTTTCTTTTATTTCCTTGTTTTCTTTTTCCTTTTTCCTCTTTTTTTTTTTTAACTGCGCCGCTGCTCTTGGCTTAGAGGCCCTCCCTCATGACACAAGGCTCACCCCAATGGCAGCAATAGGGATCGACGCAATCCATCCTTTTTCCTTTTTCCTTTTTTTTTTGGTGTCTCAAATGACCAGCTATCTCGATGAAGAAGCAGAGGAGTTTAAAACAAAGTACAAACTCATTTCACAGTCAGGACACTTAGCAGACTGGCTCAGGAGCATGTGCATCCCTACCTGGGTTGATGGCCAGAGGGATGCAGTGCAGGTCCGAAAGGCCCTAGGCAGCCAGGCCCACCCGCTCCCACTGGAAGATGAGCCAAAGTGGGGAGAGGAGCCGGCCCGGGAGAAGGATGGCGCTGATGGAGAAAGTAGCTTCCCTCCCCAAGCCGAGGGTGAGGGCGGAGTGGAGTGGCCCTCCAAGGACTGCTTTCCTATGCATCGCCCTTGGGTGCATGACCCAGCTGCCGCCTGGATTATGGCTTTTGCTGCTCGACCACAAGCGAGGAAGGAGGAGCCTTGTTTCCGTATCCTTCATGGGTAGTGTGCTTGCGGTTGAGTCTTTGATTCACGCATCCCCATTGCATGCGCCTCATAACCAGTGTTCTGCCTTCTTCCCCACTCTGTTTCTCTTGTTTGCTTTTCAGATCTTTCAGCCATTGTTTTGCTCATCCTCATTTTGGTTCTGTTCTCGTCCCTCTCGTTGGCACTGTGTCTGTTCATGCTTTTCCTCGTCCGGTGGTGGTTTCCATTGTCTACCTTACATATTTTTGTTTTCTTCAGCACCTCCCCTCCCTGCCCCACCCCTCTTCTCCTTTGTTGTTTATTTAAAATTAAAAACAAAACAAATCCAAATCCCTCCCATGCACCTAACAGTCCAAACTGAGAGGTCAGCCGGAGTGGCAGCCGGGGCAGGAGCGCGGGGATGAGCCGGAGCCGCTGCACCGCCGAGCCGACGGGGATGCTGGGAGCTGCCGGCTGGGAGGCCAGAGCTGCTTCAGTGTAGAGGTCAGCGACCACCTGGCCCCACCGGCCAGCAACCCCTGCCCTCCCAACCCTCCTTTGGCTGTGTGGCTGGCTGTGTGGTATTTCCTACCTGGGTCCAGGGCCGTTAAGGGACATGGTGGGCGGGTATGGAACCAGGCGGACTCCCCCGAAATCAGAGTCCATTGCATGCAACTGGAATGGGAGGGTCCGCACAGGGTGAACGCGGGCAACCGCCAGCTCCCCTTGTCAGACAAGCATCGTCCTGCCTGTGGACGCCTGGAAACACAGCAAGGCATAGGGGACTGATTTGTGAGTGTTACGTAGCTTTCTGTCAAACAGGAAAGAAAACACGCATGAAAACCAAGCACTGTCTTTGCTGGGCTGGAGGAAACTGTCCTTCCCTGTGTCTCATGTGGCCTGTCCTGTAGTTTCCAGTGACAGGGCTCCAGCCAGTGGGCAGAATCAGGGCGTGGACTCCCAACCTGGGGGCTGCAGCATTCTCTGTTGCTGTAGCAACCTCTTGTCAACAAAGCTCCCAGCCCCTATAAAGGCTACCAGAGGGACTCCATCATATGAAACAGTTGTCAGCAGCCCTGTCAGTGAAAGCTCTTCCTGGCAAGTAATTATACCCATGACAGAGACAGGTGTCACCAAGGAATGAATCCCTGGCTCTGATACTGCTGGTCAAGGCGGGTTATTGCAGGAGTAGGGCACCATGAAAAATTATATTTTTTAAAGATTTTATTTACTCATTTGAGACACAGAGATACAGAGAGAGAGAGAGAGCATGAGCAGGGAGAGAGGCAGAGGGAGAGGGAGAAGCAGACTCCCCACTGAACAGGGAGCCCGATGTGGGGCTCGATCCCAGGACCTGGAGATCATGACCTGAGCCGAAGGTAGACGCTTAACCGACTGAGCCACCCAGGTGCCCCACACCATGAAAATTCTTAATTCATCAGTCCCAGTAGGGGTGTTACTGCTCAGCTTCAAGGGATCCTGGTGGCTCCCAGACAGCAGGGGTGACAAAGACAAGGGACTCACTCCTGTAAGCACACTGAGCTCACTCAGCAAAAAAGTCAGGCATTTGACTACGAAATGATGCTCACAGAGGCACTTGGGGTAGAGCCGCGCCTGCGCCTTTCCACTCAGCTTGTGGCCAGTGCCTTGATGAGCTGTGGGTCCCACGGTCCCAGGTGGGCACACGGGACTGCTGGCTCACCCAGACCCAAGGTCCCCGATCTCTAGTCTGGGCTCTTCCCTTGTCCTGTAGGAGAGTACGTCACATCTCTACCCTCATTGATTTGGGCACACAGTGACATGAAAACTGCCCTTGAAAAGCTTACATAAAAACAAGTGTGGGTTTAGGGATTGGTGTGTCTTATATCTCTATGAAACTTCTACAGGAAGCCCCTGCAATCAGCCTGTGCTCCACACATGGGCTTCATCTGAGAATGCTGGTTGCTTTGGCAGTAGCAAACTCACAATTATGTACATTTCAAAACAATTGAATGATTCGTCTCCAGGATGACACCCTCAGGAAGACAAAATTCCTAGTCTTCAGTGAACACTGCACCACTAGCTCTTTCTAGCAGGGATGCCATGCTGTGCTAGAATCCACTCTGGCAGGGGCATCCGGGGCCCCAGCTCTGTCCATGACCAGCTCTGTTTCTCAAGCAAGTCTCAGCCTCTGTTTTTGCATCTGTGAAATGGGAAGAAAAATACTGTCCTACCTGCCTCGTGTGATTATATGTGGATGATTCTCAGAGCTGAGGAGCTATTGGCTGAGAAAGCACCATGAACAGTGCTTAATGCTGTGTGAACGTAAAGTCTGACTGATAATAAAGAGGGAAGGGTGTCCTGCCATTGAAGACTGCCAAGTGGGAAGGGCTGTCACAGCTCCCCTAGTTGTGGGCCCAATTTCCTCTGCCCACTGTAGCCCTTTCTCATTTTTCCCTGGCTGTTTCCTGATCTACACAAGCACAGCTCTTGCTGAACATGGCAGCCCCGTTCTCTGGGAGAGCAGTTTGAGGCTAACTCCCGCTTCCTTCCCATATGTTCATCACTCAGGGCATGTCACACATCACCTTGTTTAGCTAAACGCTGATAAGATGTTGTTTAACACTGGGGCGTTGATAAGTTTCCCCGTTGCCTGACATACATGTGCATGGCCTCTCGTAGCTTCAGAAACCAGCAACTTTGGAGAGAGAAACCTAGTTCGTTGACTCAAACCGAGTGTTGTGGGAATATAAACCTCCACAAGAGGTAGATTAGCAGAGCTAGCTGGTGCCACGTGGCAACTTGGGATCACTGCACAATACAGCTCAGAAGGGAATGTCAGATCTTCAGGTGAATTCCTCCATTCTGTAAATGAGAAAATGGAGGTCTGAGAGTGAGGCGGCTTGCCAGTAAGCCCCTGGGGGTTTGGTGGGTGAGCTGGGTCTAGAATGGTCTCCCCAGGCCTGCTTCAGCCATCTCCCCACCCTGCCATGAGGAGCACTGCTTGGAAGAGTGCCGTTCACTCGAGGTCACTCAGGTGACTGACTGCACACCAGCTCTCTTGCCATGCTCTGTTGCTTCCCTTAAACATCTGTTCAGTTTCCTTTAATTTTACGAAGTGAGAAAGTTAAAAAGCTCATGGTGAAAGGCAAGTCCCAGACAACATCATCTCCTAGAAGGGGGAATAGTATTCACTGGGACTGAAACATCCTTTGTTCTGACTTCTTTATCCACTATGGCATTTCACACAGAAGACTCAATTATGTATGCAAACATGTTGTATTTTTAAATACTTTTTAAAAGACAAAATGTATTCTAGGACCACTTGGATAGCTCTGTAGTTTTTCTTTTTATGAGAGGAGCCCAACATAGATCCGTTGCAGAGTCGGGGTCTTAGAGGAGCTGCTGGGTCCCTGGGGTGGATGTCCCCTGCTGAGTTTGGTCTTCCAGTATTACACTGGGTTAAAGAATTGGACAATGGACAATGCTAGAGGCAGAACTCTTAAAAGCGTTTTAGTGAAAACATCCCCAGATCCATTGCCCACAACTTTCCAATGAGGCTATCATGGAAACGGTACACGGAGAGGAGCTCCCATCAGTGAGCAGGGCAGCCTGACCCAGAAGCTTCTCTCAATGGAGCCTCATGCACACAGCCCGACACCACAGAGCACCACCGTAACTGCAGAAAAGGTGAGCTCAGACACTTTCATCTAGAATGAGTCCAAGACTGAAGCCGGTGTACCTCGAGCAGTGTTCTTCCTTCCTCTTACATTGCCCTTGAAATTACGAATTAACTGTGCAAGCCGATTACTACTGTACACATGTGAATTTCCTTTAGCTCTGCCCTTAGTTCCTTGGGATGGGGAGCTGATAGGACACCTAGTACCAACAGCTTAAAAGAGGAAAAAAACTTTCTGTATTTAAGCTGAAGTTTTAACAAAGGATCAATTTCTCAAGTTCCATTTGTGAAATGCCTTCTCTGAAACCTATGTAGATTTTCATATTTGGGGTAAGAGGAGAGAAAGTGTATTCCTATTTTGGAAGATTTGGGTATTTGGGCCAGATTAAACCACTACTCCTAGTACTAGCACCAGTAGCAGCAAGAACACCAAGAAGGAGAAAAGGAAAAACCACCTTCGAACAATTGTAACATTTCAGGAGATGACAGATCTGTGCAGCAGAAGGCCTGCTGCTTAGTACACACACTAATCTTAGGGAGGGAAGGGAATATCCACACAGCACTCTTAAAACAGTTATAGGCAGAACAAGCTGAAGTCAGAACGCACTAATACCCACTAACCCATTAATGCAAGCACACCAAGAAAAAAAAATTTTTTTTTCAGAAGGACAGGTATTTCTGGTGCCTATTCATCTCAGTAGTTGTTAGCTAGATTCTCCTATCATGCACCAGATTTCTTCCCTGACTTTCCTCCCTGTGGCTCCTGACAAATCTGCTGAGAGATTCCGACTTGTTAAGAGAGAGCAGTGTATAGGATATGCAGCTGGGAATGTGCAGGGTGCCTTAAAAATAGTTCTGAACGAGAAGTGGCCAAGCTTGGGCCCTGGTCACATTTCAGATATAAATGAAACCAAGCCCATGCCCAGAGGGATTGAGTTTCTAGATCAGAAATCTCAAAGAGCTCTCTTCCCTAGCTCCACCTTTGATCCCTTAATCAACAACACACATGAAGCATTTGGGACCCCTCATGCCCCAGCTGTGAAATACCAGCCATGATAAAATGATGTGGGGTTTTATGCCAAGTATGTGTACACATGTGTTGACCTTCTCTATGGCTTTGGATAAAGCAGTAACAAAACTGGCCAGAACAAAATGGAACTTGCCAGAAAATGAAGTCTTGGGGATAGAGGTAGAAGAGAGTCCTAATATTTAAGGAGCATTGCTAATAGTGAGTATAACGAAAAGCATTCCTGTTTTTGCTTCGAGATAATGCAGGTAACTTCTTAAGTGTGGAGAGTGATCTATAAGCCACTTTCTGTGAAGAGGTCCAGGAAATTCGCATTGTAAATTGGTGTAGAACTCAACCACATGGGGAAAGCATGGGCGGTGGCGTTCAGAACACTGCCAGGGAAGGTGGTTGTGACGTCGAGCTTGATATGTCTCCTTGGCCTTGGGATCAAGTAAGGATGGTATTTGTTTCAATAGACTGCCTTACGTAGAGAGGTCAAGATGAATTTGTTTGATGTGCAATCAGAATCTTAGGTAAGTGGGCAAAGGATGGCTTTTAGAATCAACCCTTTGGGAATATGGTGATGAAGGGAAGTATCTATTTTCTAGAGGAGGTCTATGTGTCATGTGAACACTTGGCTCCAAATGTATGTGGTTGGATGCAGTTGTGTGGCCGTGGAATAATTCTGGACTGAAACTTTGACTGTAGCATGTTTGTATTTTGTTTTTTGTAACACTGGAGTGACGGCATCCCAGCTAGGAACACTTACTTGTCTGAGGGGTTTTAAGACTCCATTAGCAAAAATGGACAGTAAAGTAAAATGTGTAGCAGATGAAGAGGATCGCACAGTTTCTGTTGTTGACCCATCTCCACGGATGACAGGGAGCCACTGGAGGTAAATCAGGTGCCCCAGATGAACAACTTCATAGGACTTCAAGGGTCCTTTTCTGTGACCCTTCAAAGATGTGGTTCCAACAAAGGGACACATTTTTTAATCAAACAGTGCTGTGGTATGAGGCTCATATATTTGTTTAAAATAAATCAGCTTATGTACATTATTTATTAAGATTAAAACCAAACTACTTCGGTTTCATATATAGAAACTAAATTAATAGATCTTGGGTTTTCTTGAAAGATAGGCTTGATTGATTAGGATGCCTTTTTCAACATCTCTGCATAGGGAGCCTCGGGCTAGTATCACATGTATCCAAATATGGAGGATTTTTATATCTTAAATGTATAGACTAATGAGTAACTGAAAAAAGTAAAGCTGGGAAGAGAGTAGCCTGGGTCACCTAAAGACACTCCTGTGCAAAATACCTAAGCTGCCAGAAGGGACACCCCAGGAGGGCAGGGATTTGGGGCAGCTTTATGTACTCGTAAATCCCCAGTACAGTGCCAAGCACTATAGGTGCTCAATAAGTACTTGTTGAATAAAGTGCTGCATAAAATAGAAAATGTCTCTTAAATATGTAGCTGAATTTCCCTCAAAATTTAGGAAAATCTTCAGGGGTTGGAATTGATTTCAGAAGGGAACATCAGAACAGCAGTGTCTGTGGCTTTTAGATAAGCAGATTAGGGGGAGAGTTGCCAGAATTGGGAACCCAGAGGCTTGGGCTTTAATAGCTGCATAGGCAGAGGACACAGAGCCTTGGGCCCAACACAGGCAGAGAGCAATGACCCAGGGCCCCCAAGGGCTGCACACTGTGTAAGCCTCAACTGGAGAGACATCTGCCTGCTGGTAGAGGGAAGCTTGTCTACCAGCATGAAGTCTCCCCCACATAACCATACTGGCAGCCAGCCTCACCAGGATCAGGCTTTGAACTGATGTCACCGGTGGCCTAGGAGTCCCCAAGGAAAGGAGAGTTGATGTTCTGTCGCTGGCTTCTGCAAACACAAACCCCATCTGTAGGCACATCCTAAACCCAGGTTACATACAGGATCACAGCTAACTCCCCAGTGAAGATGAGCTCACAATGCAAAACTGCAAACATACAAGCCAAAAATACGCACCTGGATCAAGAGTCAGCTGATGGCCGACGGCAGGGTTCAACTCCAAGAGAGGTCTTCAGATTCTAGAATATCAGATAGATATTCAAGATACAAAGTAGGTGTGTTCACAACTATGAAAGGCAGGCAAACACGAGAAAAGATTAAATCATTACTGTAAAAGACCACACATAACTAAAAAACAATAAATTAGTTCTCTTAAAAATAAGAAATTAGTCATTGGGATAAATTAGTGTGGAGAAAAATGCCTCTTTTCAGAGAGAACCAGAAGCCTGGCCTAGTAGATATAAAAGTTATAGTAATCATATCTAGTAATGAGAAACTCAAAGAGGCATGAACGTCCTCAGTAGTTCTTGATTTCTTGAAAGAAGGATGAGCTTAAATCTCAAGCTTTCAAAAATGTTACCCAAAAGTTGGCGGATCCCCCGCATCTCTGATTTTCTGTCTCTATCCTTTTTCCCGTAAGCTCTCAGTCATCCCTTGTGCTAAAGGAAGAGATCTGCTTCCCCCCCGCCCGCCCCCCCACCCCCGCCCTGCATTTCCTGTTCTTGGAGCATGAATTTCAGTCCTGACAACCCAGGTCACATCCAGTTAGGACGAGCGAACAGTGTCCTCTGTGAGAAAGAACAGATTAGTTCATCAGAATGAACCAGTAGGATGACACCTATTTTAATTGCAGCAATCCACTCTAGTTCCCAGATTTATGAAGCCCCGTCTTCAAGTAGCATAAACAAGTGGGTAAAACGTCATGTTTCGATTTTAACGATGCCCGAGATTTTTAAATATAACCATTTCCCTTTCTTAAAAAATACACTTAAAACATAATAGCTCCTACTTCTCGATCATTGCCATTTGGACATAAAAGGCACAAAAGACAGGCTTTTACCAATAGGTAGACTTTACCAGTAAAGCGCATAAAAAAGGATTCCTTTAACTATTTTTAACCTAAAATGTAATAGAGCAGATCTTTGCGCAGTTCTTAGGCAACGTATGCAATTCAAAGGATGTTTCTGGTCCCTGAAGGCACCCCGCCCCGCTTATCCCGAGTGCCCAGGGTAGGAGTGCCCAGAGGAAACAAAGGTACTCTCCATGGGGCAGGAAAATCTCCACTAAGCCTATGAGCAAATGAATGTTGCAACCTGGAATGAACTGGGGCAGTGAATCTCAGAGACCAACTCGTGTGAGCTGGCCATGCCACCTCTGGCTCCCTGCTCTCAGCCTGGGTGGTGGGGACCGTGGTGTGGTGGTCCAAGTTCGGGTGACAGGCACCACTACGCACCTGTCTCCCAGGTGGTTGATGAGGGTGGCCGGGGTTGCCTAGCACAGACCACCCCGGAGCCCCGGGCAGGACCTCAGGGGAATTGCCACAGGACTCACTCCACTGCTGCAGCGCCCGTCCGTGCTGTGTCGCTCCATGTGTGTCCCTGGCTTGTGCAGATGTCTGTCCTGCGTCTTCCACTAAACCCCTTCCTTTATCCCACCGATCAGCTCAGGGCCCCCTGTTTTACTTGAACAGAGTGTACCGCTAGAGGAGCTGCAGGGTCAGCTTGCGCAGGCGACCAGACTGCATCAAGAGGAGACAGAGAAATTTACAAACACGATTCGGAAGGTAAATATGTAACCCAATGTCAGCACAACCAGGGCTCTGACTGCGGAGCCCCCTGGAGACAGATGACAGAAGGAATTTGAAAGAGAGCTGTCTGTCCCACTCAGGCTCCTGGACTCCTAGGGAATCATCTAGTTGAGCTGCCCCTCGGACATGTCATAAAGAGAGCTGTCCATCTTTCTCCTCTAAAACATGCTTTTCACTATTTACATTGTGGTCTCGGGAAGTTCTTCCTAACGTCTAACCTACATTTTCCTGCAGCCGTAGCCAGCAAAGGAAAATCAAAGAGGGGCCTTCACGCACCTGGACAGGAAAGTGTGTCCATAACTTTTGTTGTCCCACGGATTTGTAAGCTTTCTCAATGTTAGGTAAATTATTTGATAGGAAATATCAACAACTCACCCTAAACAGTTGTCTTCAGAAAACTGCCGCTAATTGAGCTGCGGCCTTATTAACTCTTCCAGCTTATCTTAGAATAACCTGTTATTGGCTAATTACCCATTATCTGTGAAATCCTTTCCCAGAGTTGCTAGGAGAAGGGATTCACAGATACGGGCACTCATTTCCTAAATAATTTAACCTTTTTTTTTTTCCTTCTGCACCAAAAATCATGTTTGAGAAAGGAGTTTATCCCTGGAGATGCTAATAGCAAAATAGCAGGGTCCCAGGTGTGTCTAGTACTTGGATTCAGGATAAAGGAGTATGTTGAAGACAAGGCTTTAGACCTTGTTTGGAGGGGGTGAGAGGTCATCCAGGCTTGTTTAGAGGGAACAAGGGTTGGTGTTCCCTAACGTATCCCTAACATTCCCTAACGTATCAGAGGGAAGAGGACCAACTCTGGGCCTTGGGATGTGCTTGGAGACATGGAACAGAAAGAAGGTGGCAACCAGGGCAGTGGGGAGGTCAGAGCCAGTCAGAAAGGAACATTTCCAGGAGGCTTCAGATGAGAGGACAAGAGAACATCCCCTCCCAGCGCGGCACCTCCACCAACTAAGACTAGCATCTCTGGCATACCTGCCATGAGCTAGGCGCTCTGCACATCTTGAGTTAGCCGCCGAGGAAGCTGAAGCCTTCCCAGTCAGTCGATGGCTGACATAATACTGCAAGTAAATTGCAAACGCTGGATTTCCAGTATGGTAGGCTTCCCCCCTCCTTGCTCGTCCTGCTTTTGTGCCCACAGGGAAGAGAATCCGCGGGACTCCGAGGACTGCCAACAAAGTGAATTAAATCACCACTATTTTGTGTTCTCTCAGCTTGAAGTGCAAAAAAGATCTGGTATTATGACGGTGGCTGCACAAGTCTCTGTGCAGACCCGGGATCTTCCCAGAGCTGCCTCTCACTCTTCACTGGCGCTAGCACAGCACATGTTGGTGTCGCCCGCGAGCAGCCATAGTCCCATCCCCATGGTTTCTGAGCACCGATCGAGTACTTTAGGAAAATAAGACAAAACAAAACTCAGTGCCTTGGTGTTTGGCCAAGAGGGAGTGTTAAATCGGAAGAGGACAGCTGATAACTACAAGGCTGGCATTCGAACCCTTTTTTTCTTTTTCAGTCTTTGGAACAGAAAGCTTTCATTTAGCTTCTATTGATATTATTCTTGTGCCCTTATCTGTGCAATAAGATTTTATTCACACCACTTGGCTTAGTCATTATCAACATAATCACTGTTTATTGCTTGGAAGAGTGCCTGTACCCATGTTGAAAGCAGAAACTTAGCATAGAAATGGAAAACACTTCTTTTTCAGCAATGCTTTATTTCCCTAAGAGTTACTTGTGGCCAATAGGAATGGGGAGTCCTAAGTGTGGAAGTAGGTTTTCAGCTTGCTTTCCTGTTTGCTCCCCACCATATGCGGCAGAGGACCTTGTGTCAGGGAGAATCCCTGCTCCCCCACCCCCACCCACCCAGCCACCTCGCTCTCCCACTCTCTGTGGGCCTCTCCATCAGCTTGCTGTCTCTTTCTTCTGAGGGTTGTGCACACCAGAAGGCTCAGGAAGCCCAGGGGAAGGGTTACCACTTAACGCCCCCCCCCCCCCTTACAATTGCAGTGTGCCTTTTGCAAGCCCACAAACAGAGGGCAAAGGGAATCTGCACGGGAGCCAGCTGCAAGCCATCCATCTGAGAAACAATTTTCCTAAAGAAGTTTAGAGACCTCCAAAAACACCACGAGAGACTTGACAATGAGAATTGACGATAACATCTTGGTTTGAAATAGTGTTTACTTCGGAGTAAGAAAACCCTTGAGGTTTTCTAAATAGTACGCATCTCAAGGAGTTTCCTGAACTTTGGGGGCTTCTGTGTTTTCCGTGCCAGGTGCAACATGATCAAGATTGAATGACATTTTGCCAAGACTTGGTTTGGTTTGGGTGGCAAATTGGAATAGCTGCTGTCACACTCTTGTCTCTCTCTCCATTCAAGATGGAGGAGGAGCACCTCTATGCCTTGAGATGGAAAGAACTAGAAATGCACAGCCTGGCTTTGCAGAACACCCTCCATGAGCGAACCTGGAGCGACGAGAGGAATCTGATGCAGCAGGAGCTCCGGTCCTTGAAGCAGAACATTTTCCTTTTCTACGTCAAACTCAGGTGGCTGCTAAAGCACTGGCGGCAGGGGAAGCAGATGGAGGAGGAAGGCGAGGATTTCACTGAGGTACCTCCCCCACCCCACCCTCCACAGAGAGTTCATTTTCTTTGTGTCTGTTTTGTTCTTGACCCCCAGGCACTGCTGTCCCTCTATGCCCTACACACAAAGTCACATTCTGTTATTTCAAATGGTTTTTATCAAGCCCAGTCCAGGCACGGGAAATGCAACAGGTTGTCCAGTTATATTAGACCAAGAATTCTGTGCTGTCCCGTGGCCTCGTTTTCAGAGTCCTTGTCTCTAACTCCACTCTGCGGCAAAGTTGTGCGGCCATTTCTTCCCCTGCTGACCTCTGAATTCATGCACGTTGTCACCCTGAAGTCCTGTGCATCTCTCGTCCCGCCTTGCTGGTTTGTCAGACCTAGCTCTGAAACTTTCTCTCTCCTTTCCATTTCAGTTTTTGTTCCTAGATGCTAGAGCCCGTTCTGCCCCTGCAGTTTGGTAAGGGTCCCTGCTAGGCTCCAGATGGGTCAGGGTTTTGCCGCTTCTGAAATGTGCGTATGCTTCCCCCTTATGCCTCCATTCTCAGATTCATCACAGAACCAGAGCAGAGTCATCTGCTTTCTGATTGATTCTGATTGATTCAGTCCAGCTCTGCAGGCTCCTTCAGGCCTTGCCTTCTGGCCACTGCTGCTGGGTGTGTGCTGGGCATCCACACCCCTGGCTCCTTTGTCAGCTGCTTCAAGGCATCATAAATGTTGGTTTCCTTTTAGCTCCCAACGACTTCTCATCTGCTTTTCACTGTATGTAATTTTAAGTCATCCTCTGAAGGGGAAGATACTCTTTCTTCAGGGAGGAAAGAAAGCCTTCCAAAATTAATTCAACCTGCTTCCAAATAGCCTTGACATAGAAAACCATCGTTAAGCAAAGCCTAGAAGTGGTTGTAAAGTTTCCTTCTCCTCTAGCTTATAAAACCATAACCATAATCAATAATAATTAATAAATCATAAAATTTTTCATTATCAAAATAACTTAAAACAGTAAAATTTCTAATCTTTTCTGACCAATTGGGTACCCACGGTGTGGTGTTTAAATGAAGAAGGTGGCCAGTGAGTGAAATGGGCTAAATGAGGATATTCGGGAAAGGGCTGAGAAGTCAAGACTTGATAAGCCATAAAGGGGAGAATTACCCTCAAACAATAAAAACCAGGCTGCACAGCAAAGGATTTGGGTGGAGCTGTGATCATTGTCTCCTGCTGTTTTCAGAGGGAGCATCCAGAGACCTTCCCCAGGCTGGGTGAGCTTGGAGTTCAGGGGGACCCGAAGGGGGATGGCCCAGACCGAGATGACAATGGTCCAGGTTGTGGCTTTTCAATGGGAGAGCATTCTCCACACACCCCTGTGCAGATTGGTGACCACGGATCAAGGCTGCAGCCTGCGCACGGGGAACAGCTCCACAAGCAGGTGGGTGCCGAGGTCCCAGCCCCTCATTCTACCTACATCTGGGAGAGGATAGTCCTAGTCTATGTCTGTGTCATCTTATTTTATATGCTGGTGTTCCAGGGAGCAGAAAACTTTGACTGCCTATGGTTGCCTGTCGCTGTGTTTGTGCTAGAAATCATATCATTAAGACTTTATTTCATTGTCAGCCCATTGGTTCATTTGGCTTCCACGTATAAATAAGGGGCATAGTAGGATCAGATCAATGGGAGGGGCCAGCAAACGTACCTGAGAAGGGGGGGGGGTGAAATGTAGAGTGGTGTGTGGAGGGATCTGTGGCTTTAGAAAGGTTGACCATTCTTCCACGAAAGAGACATTACCGAGTGCAGTGCCCTCCTCATGGCCAGAGAAAGAAGGGACAGGGCTTTTTTGTTGACAGCTGAATGGGCATCGGCAACATCACGAACCTGGTAACATAACGTGTAAGGAGGAAAGAAAACGTATTTTTTTAAAATCCTAAACATGTATGAAGTGTCTTAGGTTCTTTTTGGGCCACTTGAAATAAAAATATTTGGTGACACTTAAAAAATTAAAAGCATATATAGAGATGGGATTTCAGTGTGTAATATGAAAAAATTATTAATGTTGCCAAATGCCACATTTATTAATTATTAAGCAGGCAGCCCCTGCTTAATAAACCAGAAGATACTATTGATGCCACCCAGATTTTTTGCGCTTCTTTACAGAACAGCAGCTGTGGTGGGTTTGGAGTGCTGAGAGCCTAGGAGGTACCCAGTGTTAAAGCTTTCTTGCTCCCAGACTTCCTGGTCTGAGGCTTATCCAATCCTAAGTTGCTTCTTTGAGGGTTCTGCAGGGCAGAGCCTGGGGCCCTAAGACCCTTGGCTCTGGGGTGAGGGGCAGGACCAGGGGGACCCGAAGTGCACAGTGACCCCGGGTGGAGCTGTGGCCCCCCGACCGCAGGCATTTCTGGGCACTCCCTGTGTGCTGGACTCCACAGCTGCAGTTCCTCCCTCAGCCCAGAGCCGCAGAGGGTCGAGTGGGAGAGGTCTGTCATCAGATCTTTGGCTCGGATCCAAATGAGAAAAGTCGTAATGTCTGAGCCCAGGCCTAGGGGATGTGTGTCTTTTCCCCCTGTCTGCTTTCTCTTCGTAGACAAATCAGATTTTCACAACTAAAGAGCTATTTCTCTGCATGCCCATCTGCCCTTCATTTCCCCTGAATAATATGGCTCAAGAACGATGTTATGCTTTCAAATGAATGTTTAATTACACTTCTTAGGAAGTTTGTCATTATGCCAGTGTCCCTGGGGAGATTTTAGCACATGGAATGAGTTTTCCAGCAGTTTATCTAGTTAGAAAATAAAATGCTACTTTGCAAATAATCCTCGAAAACCTACCACTTTTATTATTTTTCAGAGATGTTGTCAGTCCGTTTTATAAAGTATCTGTGATTAACTCAAATAGCATCCGCTGACTGCCACTTAGCCCTAAACCTGTTGTGTCTCAGGTCATGTGCGGTGTTTCCCACCCGTGCGTCCAGATGCTTAGCAAAAGGGAAAAAATGTAACACATCTGGTTTTCTAAACAGTTCTTATGGGAAATGTTACCCTGGGGGTGGAAAATAATGTAAAGTCACTCAGCTGGAACCTCACACTCAGTGTATTTTAACATCATCTCTCTGCCTCCTCCTTCCAAAGCTGATGTTTCTGCTAGTCCCCTCGGAAGTGAAGGTGGGAGCTGTGAGTTTCCACTTTGTACAGTGTGTGGTAGGGGCACCCGGGGGGCCTGCAGGACAGGGCGCCGACGGGCCGAATCCGGGCCCCCTTTCACGGCCCCGTCTGTCTGTAGGAGTTAAGTGCACAATGCCACCCATCCGAGGACAGAAGATTAATGCGATCTACTGTACGACAGCTGGTTGCCTGGGAGTGAACATTCTCAGCTACCAGATTTGCCTGCCCTCTCGTGGCGTGGGTATTAGCTAGGCAGTCTGCAAGAGCAGGAACACGTATCCCAGAGAGCCGCACCCTTTTCAACAACTCTGAGAACCTGCCAAGGTGATAAGCAGAATGGGCAACGTGGCCTACCTCCTGTCCCCAGGCTAAATTTGCCAGTGACACAATTTCCCAGGCCTTGGTCTCTTCACTTTGTGTCATAGTGAACATTCTCACAGTTGAACACAGTAGATGTCAAAATGTATCATTGTCCAAAGAGGTAAAAAAAAAAAAAAAAAAATGTATGTGTATCAAGTCAACCTTGAGAATAGTTCATAAAAAGTTACCAGGTTGGAAAATGTTTGGCTGTGTGAATGGTCCCCGTTGACTGATTTTTAGTTCCAGGACTAGTGATCTAGTGGCAGCGACCCGGTTGTCCTCGAGAACAGAAAGCACTTTCCATTTGCCTGGCCTTTTGGAAGAACTGGAAAATATGCAAGAGCTTATTGTATCACTCTCACTGAGCTCCAGCACGCTGGCCACAATGTTAAGCTTTTGAGACCTAAGGCTACTCCTGCATTTTATGCTTACTGGTAGTTCCCAAAATCAAGATTTTTAATGCAAGGTGACTAACAGTGCCAGCATTATGGCCCTGTGGTTCCACTAGCTAATTGTCTGTGAATTGGATTAATTTATTCGAAGAGAAGTTACTTTTTCATCCAGGGATGGGACATAATACTCTTTATTAAAGCATCTAAGTGTAAGTGTATAGAACCTAATTTGGGGTGCCTGGGTGGCTCAGTCGTTAAGTGTCTTCAGCTCGGGTCATGGTCCTGGGGTCCTGGGATCGAGCCCCGCATCGGGCTCCCTGCTCAGCGGGAAGCCTGCTTCTCCCTCTCCCACTCCCCCTGCTTGTGTTCCCTCTCTCGCTGTATCTCTCTGTCAAATAAATAAAATCTTTAAAAAAATAAAATAAATAAAATTCAGAGCAAGAGCTAATGAAATTATGTTTCATGTTAGTCTTCAACTACAGCTGGTCACTTAAGAGTCTCCCTCAGGACCCAGTTTTAGGACCGAGTAGAATCTATTCCCCTGGACCTTTGTCACTCACTAGTCCAGGACTCGTCTGGGGCTTAGGGCCTTCAGAAGCCACCCTCAGTAGAAGTCAGCCTCTCTCCTGTAGACAGAGTGCCTTTGGCTCCCTGGGCCTCCCAGACATGGACTCACATTGGTGCCCACCTTTCTGCTTTGCCCAAGATGCAGAAACTTCCAGAAAGAGCACCTCTGCCAGACAAGGCCTGTGTGTCAGAAACTGTGATCTGCTCTTCCTTTTTTTTTTTTTTAAATAAGGAAGCTCTCCTCTTGAGCCTGGATCACTTCTACCTTCTATTTTGTATGTACCGTGATTCATTTTTCAGATTCTGCAACTTTATAACCTCACCTAGGAGACATGCAACTCTCTCTAGAAGGAACCAGACCAGAGCTTATGATTATGAAACATTTTATATTGGCTGTGTGTTTCTGCTTATTCCTGGTACTGTGTAAATAGCAGGGGCACAGGAGTGAAGAGGCACAAGTACTAGAGGATACTCAGGAAAGGACTCTTTCAGCCCCTGCCCCACCTCCCAGTGTCAGCCACGGTCAGCAGTAAACCCTAAACCTCTGCTCATAAATGATTTCTTTCCATCTGGCCACTTGATTTTCATCACACCTGCCCTGGTTTCCTTGAAGCCTTTGGCTGATAACCCGCATTATAACTTACTAAATATATGTCCCGCACTTCTTTCACAAGCCCACATTTATGCTTGGGAAGCTCTCTGAAAATTACAGTGACCTGCCCCGAGAAGCCCTCATGGCCTGGATCACCTGGCATGTTCCCAGCCAAAGGACAGATGATTTTTGTACATAAATGAATCTCTCATCTCTGTAACCCTCCACCAGGGATTTTCATGGCCAGTCTTCAGTGACTCATTCTATCTGTGGGAGGATGGTAGTTTTAGAAAACAATCTTAAAATTAATCTGAATGGAACAATGAAAGTAAGAATGACAAATGGCTTATTTATTAAAATGTTGCTGGATGTGTAAATGTATCCTTTCAGTCTGATCTCACAGTAAAGGACTTGTCTTGGAACTCTTGCTGGTAGAGGAGTTACTTTATTGAATAGGATGTGAGGTCCCCCTCTTTGTAAGTATGAAATAGGAATTCTGCCTGTGTTGGGGGCAGCTACCATGGCGTTCTGGAACTCCCTGCCTATGTCTGCTAGCCTAGATGAATAGGAAGTAGAGACCATCTGGCATTCTGTGGGTCAGCCCATAGCAGCGGGTCAGTATATCTGTCCCAACTTTAGATTAAACCCATCTCCAAAATTAATGGCTCTGAGACAAAGTGGTTGACGGTAGTTTAGCTCCTTCACAGAATTATGAAACACATTATCTTAGAAATCTTAGGCAAGAATGATTTTATCAAATAGCTGGCATTGCATCACAAATATCTTGGTGTGTTCTCTTTCCCAGAAACTTCCTTTTTTACTTTCTACTAGTAATATTTATTGTGTATTTGGGTAGCAGTCTTATTGGCTGAAGCCCAGCCTTGAACCTGTTATAAAGTTTACCACTTTATAGCACAGTCAAGCCCCTGATCCCAATTTTGGAATTATTGTAAGCCTTGCCCAAGAGAGATGAACATGGAAGGGCTGAAAAGGAAGTGGTGGGGCCATTTTATCCTGCCTCTTTGCAAGAAAACCAACCAGCTGATCTTGGAAAGGTTGAAAAAAATGGTCTTGTTAATTAAAATCGACCTATACTTAACATCTATAAACTAAAAGGTTGCATAATTGGGCCCCTGGCACAGAAGTTTCAGAAAGTTCTGTATCCAAGAAGACTTTCACCCAAAGACCTCTAAATGGCCCAGAGAATCTTGATTCCATTCTTAATTAGGGTCCTCTTTTTACCCCAAACATTGCCCAGCAAGGGCCCCCACAGGGAGGAAACATAAGACAAGTAACTTTTTAGGCATTCTTTTAGGATGGCTCACTAGTAGTATTTCTGTTGATCTGGGGGATGGAATTTGTTTCCAGAGATGAGGTGGCTTCTCTTAGGCAAAATTTAAAACAAACAAACAAACCTGGGTAGAGGATAATGTCAAATTTAGATATGTTGGCTGGGTTTGTCCAGCCTTGGGGGGGACAGACCCGGAGTGCAGTCTGTGCTCTGCACTTCCTAGCAGGGAGAGCCTGCTCCAGTTCCTCCTCTGTCACACGGTGGGGCATGATGGTATGCACCTAGGATTGATGTGAGATGCCAATGAGATCCTGCAGGTGGGCGATCGGCATACCTGACCTAGCACGCCCTCTGTCAGAGACAATTCGTATTACTTTTCATTACTGGGTTTTTTGTACCTGAAGAAGTTTAGAAACATCCTGCGCATCTGGGTCTTCAGAAGTTTTTATTTGGACATCAGTTCTCGGTGTTGTACACCAATGGCAGAGAGCTAGGCTGACTTCTTGCCATGTCACATGCTGCTCCTGGGTGATTATCATAACAAGTACCAATAACATCCATTCCGTGGACTCTCTTGCTCCCTTTGGCCACCTTCATGCCAGAGCAATTTTTGAACTCATTCCGTGATGATGAATATTATACTTGTATAATAGCACATTATAATGATTACACTGACCCAAATGTGCATGAAAATGTTAAGGCTTAATTTTATTTAATCTGATATTTGCTAATGCCAGAAAGTACTTATTTCCAGAGGAACCAGAATTTCAGTCTGCAGAAGGACTGTTCTGTGAATTCCTGCTTCCGAGGACCACAAATTCTGGTCCTAATGTTATCAGAGCCAATTTGTGTGGGGTTAAGAACCCCACAGGCTGACAATATTCACAAAGTGGGGTTTGTAGGGAAGTATCGATTATATACAAGAATTGATTACATGGTTTTCTGCTTTTTCTTCACTGAGAATTTGATGACTACTCAGAGACTAGATCAAAATCAGTCTCATTACTTTATGCTTTAAATACTTTGACTTAAAAAGTAGTGATTTTTAAGTTTAAAATCCAAAGATGAAAATAGCGTATGAATCTATTTAAAATATAGTTTTTTTCAAATAAATTCTGTACTCAAAAGATGTATATTTCTGAAGAGATTATTGCGATACTTCTTCTCACTCACCTGCACTTACATAAATTTTAAATACTTTTGGTGTAGAGTTGAAAGAAACTGTTCTGCATTTATTACAGTTGTACACATATCCTGAGCACCTCTTTGAGTGTAGTGGTAATTTACTTATATTTTTGGTTGGAAGGAACATGTAGCATTTTTAGAAGGTTCTCTAGCTGCTGAATCTTTCAAACGTTAACTGGATTGTACTCTTACTGGCTTTAGTCTCAGAGCTATTAAAGTAAAAATTGGTAGTCAAGGGGAGAAAAACCAAAGAGCTATAAATGTTAACAAATAGGTTTTTCTACCCCATCGAAAGTCTACCGCATCTAATATTAGAACTCCAGACAATTTACAGGGAAAACTGGGGTGTTGTCAATAATAAATCTGCTCATATTGAGGAGTTTCTCTTTTCTAATTCAGCTTTATTTAAATCCAACCATATAGATAGCCAAAGTATCTTAAATTCTTCCCAAATGTGGCTGTCCATTTTCATCTCTGCGCATGTGTGTTTAGGGGATTAACGAGATGGTTTTAGAAGCATGACAGACTCTCCACGTGGTAGAGGAGAGCTGGGGGCACTGTCCTGCTGCCCTTGGCACGAGAAGCTTATCAAGCGGGGGGGCAGTCTCTCTGAGAGTAAGGGGCTCTGTGTCCCCAAAGTCGAGACAGTCTGACTCCAGCAGGACTGAGAGAGCTTTGATTCTACCTGCCTCGTAAATGCGCCAAGCAAGATGGCCCTGAGACCAGTCTGGGAGCTCGTGATGCACTTTTAGTGTTTTCTGTTGGAGCTCGTGGCGCTTTTATTATCCAGGTATCATAACTGATTCAGTATTTAATTCACTTGGACAGGCCTTTCTGATATAATGCCCATGCTGAAACGTACAAAGATAGCAGTCATGGTTTTGAAATGTGCTTTCAAAGAGCAGGATGAGTTTTAGAAAATAAAATATCTTTTAGGTGTAAGCAGATTAGTGATAAAAATTCCTTTTTCATTTATCTGACCTGTTTTGCATACTTCACACGAGCTGAACATTGTGTGGGCCACTGGAAACATGGGAGTGGGTCGAGTTTATCTGTGCCCCGTGCACCATGGGGCGGTCAGGGGAGGCACAGGAGAACAAGTAGGTGCTGGTTATTGCAGCTGAAAGGAGGGGCACAGTGATTCCGTCTCAGAGGACCATGAGGAGGCTCTCGTGAACAAGTTAAGCGTTTACATTTGACTTGGATTAAAGCTCAAATGCCCTCTCCCCCGTGGCCATACTTATCCATCCAAGTCAGAGTATGACCACCCTATGTTTATAAGAGACACAGAGCCTTTATTTACTCTCTTCTGGTTCAATGACTGGTACTAAAATGACAGCATAGATAGGTGAGTGTTTATATCTTGCCAGATCTGCATCCCCAACCGTAGCTGTGGATGTCTGAAATCACACGGAGCTTCCTTGCAGCCCTGGCTTCTGGGCTCCCTGTGGCCTCCTGCAGTTTCCTCCTTTCTGCTTCTGGGCCCGGAGCACCAGCCCTGAGCGCCAGCCCCCTCCTGTTCCACCAGGCCCTTAGCAGTCCCAGCTCCGGGAGCCTGATGGCTGGCAGCGTAGGGACCCCCTGGCTCTGTCCCACTAACTGCAGACTTTCCACCTGTTCTGTACCCATTGCAATGGCACCTCGGACACAACGCAGCACCACCTTGACGCCATGACCTAAAGAATACCCTTACATGAGGGGGCAGAACCAACTCCATGTTTGCTCCCGCAGGTGGTGGAAAACCAGCAGCTGTTCGGGGCGCTCAAAAGCCTGCTGGAGGACCTGCGCGCCGAGCTGCGGGAGGACGAGCATGCACGGCGGCGGCTGCAGCAGCAATACGCCAGCGACAAGGCCACCTGGGACGTGGAGTGGGCCGCGCTCAAGTGCCGCCTGGAACAGGTACCTGCCCGTGGGCTCTCCGCCGCTCCAGCTCTGTGGGGCCTCTGCCATCTGGGCCAGGTGGGGAGAAGGCACAGTTCCTCAGATCCACGGTGATTTTTGTCCAAAGAGCTAGGGCTCCGAGGGGAAAGCCAGGAACAGCTGCCTGCTCTCTTTCTCTCCTTAAAATTCCCAGCCTCGGGGCGCCTGGGTGGCTCAGCTGGCTAAGCATCTGACTCTTGATCTCAGCCCAAGTCTTGATCTCGGGGTTGTGAGTTCAAGCCCCGTGTTGGGCTTCATGTTGGGCGTGGAGCCTCCTTAAAAAAAAAAAAAAAAAAATTCCCAGCCTTTCCAAGGCACCTTCTTCTCCCTCCTATTCCCTCTCCCAAGTATGAAACACAGTCTCCACTGAGCACCTTTTGACAGTAGCATTTGTTTTTCCATTCTGCGTTGAACAAGGCTGTATTTATCCCCATCAAAGGATGGCCAGCCATGAAGTGGTGATCAGAACGCACTGACATAGTTCAGACAGGCGCAAAGAAAATGCAGATTGTGGCTTAGTTATCTTTGGAAAAGGAAAACATGTGCATTCCCTTTAGATTTCTCCCAATGCTGAAAAGAGCTTGTAGACCTTCCACGATGTGCCCTGGAAATCTGATTAGTTTCCATGTCCTATTTCCCCTGGAGGAAACAGAGGCCCAGAGGAAGTGGCTGGTCTCGGATCATGGAGCCTTTAGTGCTTAAGTAGAGAGAACGAGGTCTTGCCTCCACCCTCCCAACCGAGCTGAGCCTCCTCGGAGATTTTAGACCATGGCCATGGCTGGTAAGGTCAGACGTAGCCAGAAACGTTCTTTTCTAAGTGTTTTCTCCCTGGAAACCCTTAAAAGCAATATCACCTCCTGCCCTGAGTCTGCTTGCTCAGATTGTTTCTCCACGTTTCTTTCAACCCCTTGATCATGATGGGAGGAAAAGTCTGTGCATCTTGGATAATCTACTTTCTAAGCCCTATTTTGAGGCAAATCTTAAAGTAATTAAAATTTTATATGAATTGGCTAGGTCATGAAAGAAAAAAAAGTTGCCCAGAAAGGAGACATCTTCCAAATGGCTTTGATAAAAGTTGAAAGAGCCTGTCATGTCAAAAGAAAACAACCCCCTGGTACCCACAAGTTCAGCTGCATGGCCAGCTGGCCCAGGGGAGCAGTGAATTCAGGCTCACAGCCCCCGGGAGAGCAGAGACACTGCCTTCTCCACAGAGGAAGCAGCAAAGCAGAGCAAAACCAAAGCATCAGGCCGGGCTGGTGGAGCTGCTGACCCAGTTCTGAATCCTGCCTACTTGCCTGGTAGGAGATTCTTATGAGATGCCCTGTTTCTCTTAGTGCACAGCCTGAAGAGACAGCAGTGGAGGCAAAATGAGTAAGATCTCTCTGGTGAGCTGCCTTTAAAACTATTTTAAAATATGTTTATGGGGGAGAAAGCTAAATATTTTCAAAGATGTAAGTGTAGCTGAAGAAAGGAGGCCTAATCTTTGATATGAGCCAATTTCAAAATATTTCATCTTTGTTTTAGAGAAACCTGGTAGCCACCCACACACATGCTACACAGAAAGCCTCAGGGAGAATCACTAGACACGAAGAAATAAAATTAAGACTTCAGACTTAGAAGCCAGGTGGTAATGGGTAAAGATTCATCTTCCACCCAAATCATTTTAAGAAGTTTCTGAAACAGTTGCAGCCCAGGAAGCAATGAATGTGGGCTAAAGCTAGTTTATTTATAATACTCGCATCTTTACTCTTCTTCTACTTAAAAGCAAGACATGTGAATTCTACCAAAAGTTAAGTATTTTATCTCAGTGGAGGCCATGTTGTGTTTATGGTCAAATCTGTGATTCCTTCAATTAACTCCCAAGTCAGGCCTTGTTCTAGATGCCAAGGATCCAGCAACAGAGAGGACATTTTTTGTAGGGGCTCTCAGTGCATTGGGAGACCCAGACAAGGGCTGTAATTTATAATAGAGTGATAAGTGCCCCGCCAGGCCTATATACACAGTGCTGTCAGGAAATAGGGGTGTGCAGGCCATACACCTCAGCCTGAGTGTTCAGGGAGGGGTTGTTTGTGAAAGTCCTGCTTAGAATGAGTCTCAGAAGATGAATAGGAATAGGTACAAGGAAAAGGAGAGAAAGGATGTTTCAGACAAAAAAAGCATCATGAAAAAAAAGAGTAAGTATATCTGAGGAGTTGGACCCGGTCAGGTATGAGGGAAAAGAAGAATGTGCAGAAGATTGAAACATTAATCCTGATTTTATCATGGAAGTGAAGCATTTTGATTTACATTTGTAAAAGATTATTCTGGCTTTGAGGAAGAGAATGGATTAGAAGTCACTGGAATTGAATGGAGTAACATGGTCCATAGGTAAAAATCCAGAGGTCTGCTGAACTAGAATAGGAAAAAGATGCATCTTTATGTTCACTGCTCTTTCACTAAAATCGATCATGTTCTGCAGCAACAGTGTGCTCCCAGCTCCCTCCTCCCATCCTCTGCTCTTGTTGCCACAGCTTACTTCTATAAACACACAATACATTGCAACTGGTTTTGCTTCAGCCACTCAATAATACTTTAAAGCAATTAAAAATAGGGAAAAGTGAGCTTTTACTTGTATTTCTTATGTCATTTCCAGCATTCATTTTTTGTGTAGATCACAGTATCTCTTAGTATCCTAATCCTTCTGCCTGAAAACTTCCATCATTTCTTGAAGTACAGGTCTGCTGGCAAAGATTTTTTTTTTTTTAATTTGTTGAAAAAGCCTTTTTTCCCTTTACTTTTGAAAACATAGAAGTCTTATCGAGGTGGACATTTTCCTTCCCTCAGCCCTTTAAGGATGCCACTCCATCGTCCCTGACTTGCATAGTTTCAGAGGAGAGGTGTGCTGTCATTCATGTCTATGTGTCCTGGGTCTGTCTGCCTCCAAGGTTTCCTGTTTGGTTTTCAGCAGTTTAACTATGATATGTCTATATGGAAAATTTTTTGCTCATTTGTTTGTTTTGGCATTTAATCTCAGGGATGTTTAATGGATATTTATTGTAGACTGGTAGGTCCCACTGATGCTCCATCCCTCGTTTCTGTGTGGGGGCTGAGGATTTGGGGACAGACATGGACCTGCCCTCAAGGAGCTCAATAGAAGGGGAGGCAAGATATGGTGGTAACTGAGTCAGGAAGTGAAGCTGAGAAACAGACCACAGGAAGCTAAGTGGACTCACTGCTTTACATTTTATGTGACTCTCTATGTCAAATGTTCATAATTAGGACTTTAAAAATGAGAATTGTTTTTTTTTTTTCCCATGGGATTGGTCAAATCTTGGCTTAAACAGTTTCCAGGGATAGTATGCAAGTGTGCTGTGATTTTCTTCACCTGTTGATATAAGATTTGCCAGGGGTTAAGGTCTACGTCTTTCCTCCTTGCCAGCTGGAAGAGAAGACTGAGAAGAACTTGGGAGAAGCAGGTGCTTCCACTGACAGCAAAGGAGCATTCAAGAAGGAGAGGGAGACGCACCAGAAGCTCCTCGCCGACAGTCACAGCCTGGTCATGGACCTGCGCTGGCAGATCCATCACAGCGAGAAGAACTGGAACCGGGAGAAGGTGGAAATTCTTGACCGGCTGGACAGAGACCGGCAGGAGTGGGAACAGCAGAAGAAGGAGCTGTTGTGCAGAATAGAGCAGGTAAGGGAGCACCCCAGCACCAGCGAACAGGGAAGAGAATATGGACAAGTAAACTGACCTGGAGATCAGAGCACTTAGAGAAAAAAAAAAAAAAAAAAAAAAAAAAAAAAATATATATATATATATATATCAGGCTAATGTTTCATGGGCTTCCAGAGGAAGAAGAAAAAAATCATAGAATTCTAGCATTGGAGACCCAGACTCAGCCCTTACATTACACAGATCTTTTCAATGCAGAGTCTGTAGGTAACTTCTTGTGTGTGTATATACGTGTGGTATGTCTGTGGTCAGGGCTGGGCGGGGGGGGGGGGGGGGGGGGGGCGCTAATATTCTGAAGGAATTTAAAGACTAAACTTGAAACATGAGGTTATTTCAGGTCTTATAAGGTGTGATTCCTGCCAAAAAGCAAACTACCTTTTAAGTTTGTCCCTAAAGATGTGGTCACAGTGGCTGCTCCAGCTTGAGTGGGATTGCTGCCCATTAGTAAAGAGATTGCTCAGTTACGTTGGAAATCAGGCTGTTTGTACCTGCTGTGGATATTGCTGACCTGTGATTAGGGAGGACCATATCAGGGGAGGGAGCTGGTAGCTCATCCTCTTTAGCTAAACAAACAATTCAAACACCCAGATGAATTCAGGGGGAGAAGGGGAGTTGTTTTTCTACCTCCCAGAGAATCATTCTCTGCATTGTGTCAGCTTAAGACAGTTTGCGTAGTTGTGGTCATGCCTGAGTGATGCACAAATTAAATTTTCACATTAAACTGATAAAGTTTTGGAATTCTTCTCTGGCTGGATTTTTACATAGCATATATGTTTTTTATTTATTTTTTTTATTTCAGCCTGTCACACTTAAAAATTTATGAGGCCTCAAGGTAGTGTATTAATAAGAAAATGAGTTCAGGAAAAATAACCTTATTACTCTACTACAAATACCCATACTGCCTGCATTTATGTGGGAGCCTTTTGAAAAATGTGCTGTATCATCCCCAGTTGTGATACCTGTGTTACACTGGTGCAATGGCCAAAGTTAGTTTCTGCATGCTGTTGGGGAGGGAGAGAAGGTAAAGGAACTTAAAAAAGCCAGGAGCCCCTGGCTCAGAAACTGTTGAGTTGAGAAGGCACACTTCAGATAGAATGGTGCAGAAGTTCTTCCTAGATTTGATTACTCACTCACACAACTGAGTCACACCATATTGGTATTTGATGTGGCTCATTTCAAAATTCCCCAAAGTCAATCAAAAGAAAGGTGGCCACTTCCTGCTTGGCCTAGAAATGCATCATTTGAGAAGAATCTTCTATATTAGATCCCCTATGTGCCTGTGCTCTCCTGAACAGATCAGTGGTTAGGTGTAAATTGCAGGGGCAAAAATAGCACGTATTCTCGCAAAGTGGTCACAGATTTATCATATCCAGCTTCGGTTAACCAGTGTTTCAGAAACTCCAGGCACCTTATTACCAGGGAGGTTCCTTCTTGGCCTTCCATCCAAGAGCACTCACCCTGTCTCTCCTGTGGCACAGCAAGGCCATCACAATCCCTGCCACAGCCCTTCTGGGTCCCCTTTGCCTGTTAGCTGTGGGCTCTTTGGTCTTGTCATAGCTCCTTTCTGGAAGTCACAGCTTGGATATAATTTAAGCAAGTCTTTTAGGGTTTCACTTTTGGGAATGAGGAATTCCTAGTAAAGGAAAAAGTAGTAGGACATCTGATGATAGTCAACTTCTGAGGAGTTAATGACCAGGGGAGGAGCAGTCACCCCATTTTAAGACTGTATTTTGAAGGGTAAAATTGGGCATGTGCTGAATGAACCCAATTTCCGATTCAGGTCAGTCCTCCGAGTCAGGACTAGAGCAGTTCTACCGAGCTGACGGCCTCAGAACTTGAGTCCTCAAGGTTAACATCTCTGAGCATAATGGATTCGAAACACGTGGGTTCCAGGCGTTCATCTGTTCCTGAAATCTGTGCGGTGGATCCCACAGGCTTCGCACAGTGATCTCACTGCTGTTTTTAGGAGAAGATTTACTGCCAGTGAATGATGCTTCAGATATGCAGTTGTGGCTTTCAAAAATAAACCCAGCCTTTTCCCCCAAATAGTCAGCATTTTAAAAGAAGATTTTATAAATCTTGTACCCAACCCCAAAAATTAGCAGCAGTTATAGTCATTCTCTGCAAAAGAGGAAATTAACCAAAGTGTGTGTATGTGTGTGTGTGTGTGTGTGTGTGTGTGTGTGGATTTCGTTTATCGTTCATTTAATTTTTAGCTCCACATTCCATAGAAAAACAAGGAATACAGGTGAACATTCTTCATAATATATGCTCTTGATATTTAACTACTTGGTGAGCCATGTAACCTTGACTTTGATAACCTAATACAGTTGGTGAAGGAAGTAACACTAAATCCATTTTCCACTTTTAGAACACATGCTTCATCCTTGTCCAGTGTCATTAAATTCCTACATAATTTCTGCACCACATGAGGCATTTTATATGACAGATGACTGTGGGAATGTGGTTAAGGTCACATAACACATGTCATCTATCTTATCAGCATCCCTTGTCCCAGTCCAGATTTGATTGGGTGATAGTTAACTTTTATGGAATCACACTACATTTCTCCGTAGAATTAAGTTCCCAGTTAGCATGCAGATGATACAGGACTCGCCACTGTACTGAAGACCTAAAGGAAAGACCATGTGTCATTCCAGTCTCCTTCCAGTAATTTCCTTAAATCAGCTGCCTCTACAACCTGAAAGGCCATTCTTTTAAAACCCGATCACAAAGTGACCTTTTTTCTTTTGACCAGTTCAGGTAAGGTGACACTGTGGAGGGTTTATTGTTTCCTGTATTATTTGAAATGGAAGTCTTTTCAGTTTTCCATGTGCATTAAAAGTTGTTCTACTGCAGGATTCAAAGTACAGTGGGTGCTGATGGCTGGTTTGAAATGACTCTCCTAAGAAACCCTATCCTTTTAAGGACCCATTATTCTATTACAACATCCCAGAGGCATCTTAGCACCAGATACCTCCAGCTAAACCCATTCCAGTTCATTTTTAGGAAACCTAACACTGACCAGCTTTAGTGCGCATTGCTCTTGGCTGCCTGTGTTTATTTTTGAATACCCACTGTGCTGAGTTAGAATGTGCTCGTTCAGAGCCCTCCTACTTAGTCATTCTTTCCTCCTCTTCACACACACCCTCGGTGCACATTTACAGCTCCAAGTGTGATTCTTGCATTTTAATTCCTTGCCCAAAATAGCTTAGAGATGATCATGTGTTAGAACTAAATTGTGCTGACATGCATTAGATAAACATAATAAAAAGTTTTCCCTTTTTGTTGTTTTTTGTTTGTGTGTTAAAGAAAACATTTAGCATCTTTAAGGGAACTGAGAAGAACTGTGCCTTGGGGCAGAGGGGCAGGTAGAGATCAGAGGGGCTGAGCTGAAACCGGGAGTGATTGGCTTGTTCTTAATTCAACTGTGACCCTGCCTCAGATTCTAACATTTAAGCTCTGGCTGCTTGAATCTCCATCTTTCTCAGAAAATGAAGATAATCCACTGTCTCAGAAATGACTAAAAATGAATAAAAGTCCTTCATCTCCATTATTTTACGTGGCTTGGTTCCTGATGATGCGCAGGCCACAAACTTACCTCCAGCTCCTGGACGAAGGCTTCAACTGGGACACAGAGGTGTAGTTTGTGAAAGATGCTTGGTTAAAAATAAATTAATGCTTCCAGGGGAGTTGTAGAACTTCCTGGCGCCATCTCAGCACTTGAGGACTGAACACCTTTCTTCTTTGACAAATCCAGATGTTACTTTCACCCTTCAGATAACTTTCTTAGCCAAGAAGGCAGCCGCCATGGTGGTTGAGTGTGTGAGCATGTCATCCAGTAAAGACCCCAGTGGAGATATGTAGGTGGAACTCTCCTCAGCCCTCCGCTGTGCTTTCTGTGCATGTTTCGAAAAGAAGGCAGTGAGGAAAGCTCTGGAGAGTCCAGGGGGAAGTGGTCCATTACAGCTTCTCCAGGGAGTGAGCATCCACCCTACACGCCATTTCCCTGCCTGTCCCTGTGATTTCACATTGGCTCCCTTCCTAAGTGGCTCCACATGGTTCGTTCTAGTGCCATAAATCAGCAAGGCATGTATCAGTGCACCCAGACCCCAGGGAGGTCAGTGCTGGTCTCACTGATGAACAGTGAGCCCTGCTGGGCTCACCTTGCTGGTAGCCCCTGCGCTCCTCCCCTCCACAGCGGGCAGCTGTGCGGTCCCCACATCACAGATCAGGACCCTGAGCTGGGGATCGCTGGGGACTTCACTCCTGCCAGCAAACCAGCAAGCTATAGGACAGTGGGCCCAACTCAGACCTTCCTCACTCTAGGGGCACCTGCGTGTTCCCCACTATTGCTTCCTGCATTTCCTAAGTCAGGCAAAAAAGGTATGGCTCTAAAGTATGTGGCTTTTCCTTTTTCAATCAGTCCAGATCTTTCATTAACTTGATAGCTAAGTTGTAATCCTCTCAAGCAAAGTTAGAAGTTGTTTTTGACATTCAGTGGTTACAACCCAATTCGATCACTTGGGTTAATAGACGGGACCTGTACCAAATGATTTGGGTATAATAGTGTTAGAATGAGGAAACTCTGCTAGTCAGGAAAATCAAATTCGCCCTCAGAAGTTTGCTATCACTGATGGTTTTCCAGTGAGTGTGCCTTAAGTTCTGAAGGTATAAAAAATAGTTCTAAATACGTCATTTAACAATGTTCAGTTTTTAAAAAATAAATGTATAATTTCCCATGAACAGTACTCCAAGTTATATACAGTAATATATATATATATTCTCATCAGAAGGAGTTGGCTCATGTGTGTCGTTAATGCACATTTTCCAGTCTGGATAAAATTGTGATTTTTTTTTTTTTAATAAAAACATCTGTAATGTGTTACTTTTGAAATTAAGGTCAGAACTTGAAGAACATTTACTTCTCCCAGTCTTTCCTATGGACCCAAATGTAGTTCCAAATTGTGGAGAAGCAGCAGTCTTAGGGAGAGCAACTGACAGAAGAGTGAGACTAATTGTTTTCATTTTTTAAAAACCCTCAAGTTGCAGAAAGAAAACAGTCCCCGGAGAAGTGGCAGTTTCCTCTGTGATCAAAAGGAAGGCAACATCCGCCCCTTTGCCCACCCAGGAAGTCCCCGAATGCCCCGTCCCTTGGAGATGTGGCCCTGCGCAGACACTGACTCCACCCCGTTTGATGACCGGCCACTGTCTAAGCTGAAGGAATCGGACAGATGTTCAGCACGGGAAAACCTCTACTTGGACGCCTTGTCTCTAGATGATGAGCCAGAGGAGCCTCCGGCCCGAGGGCCCCAGCGGGAGTTCAGGAACTGCCTCCCCCAGGTCAGCCTGGGATTTGGGGTCCAGTTAACTGCTGCAGGACCAAGGGGTTGTCAGGAACCTGGCCACCTGGCCAGCAGGCTCGGGCTTTGCAAATCACAGCCTCTGGGTTGAGTAAGCATGAAACCTTCACAGTGCCAAGAGCTTTGCTTGGTGGTCCCGACCCCAAACTCCTAGCATGCGCTGCATTCAATTTCACTTGGCCAACATGTCTCAGGTTTGGAGATGTAGGACTGTGTCCTGTGTAAACAAAAGGTCTCACCCATGAGCGGGTCCAGTGGAACCCACAGGAGGAGAGAATTCATTCTGGGACGTATAGGTCTGCAACCTCTCTTTAAATCACAGCAGCCTTCTGATTCTAAACAACTTACTGGTAACAAAAAAAATCTGTTCTAAAGCAAGTACCTCACCCTGGGAAATAATAAGTGTCACTAAACAATGACATGCTATAAATTCTTATTCTGTGCAAAGGGGGAAAAATCCAACACTTTGAAGCTGTGCGTAAATTAGATCAGCAAAGCGGTGAGCTAAACTCTGGGCTGAGATTTCCACGGCACAATGTCAGGTTTTTCTGATTATGCCCTTTCAACAACTGGGTTTTAAAACCTGGTTGGATTTTAGGAATCATTACCTGTGAGTCAGTTTGACAGTTGCTGAACCTGTCACTTAACCTGTCCAAAGACAGACTTTGAAGAGTTCGTGTCAAGTAGTGTTGAAATGTGGGGCAGCTAGATTTCAGTGAGGTGTCTCTGAGGTCAAGTCCCTTCTCACCAGTATGTAGCCAGGTGGCATGACATCACCAGGATGGTGCCCTGTTTGACCCTTTGGCAACTCCCATGGTGCAGTTGCATAGCAGAGAGGAAGGAGCCCATCCTGGCCCGGGTCCACCGTGACGGGGCCGTACTGAGCTGCGCAGAGCAGAAGTTGTGGTCAGTCCACCTCTGATTCCACATGGCAGAGCTCACCACTGAGAAAGTGCTCAAGCCTAAGGCTGTTGCATCACCTTCTACAGTGAGACTTAGACCAAGGGACATAGCTGCCCAACTTCCTCTCTTGGGGGCCCCATCTTCCCTTTCCCCACCTCCTCCTCCTCCTCTCTTTCTCTGTCTCTCTCTCTCACTCATGTGCACACACATACACACACATTCAGATGTGTGGGTTCTGGTTTTATTATTATATTTCAAAGGGCTGAGGGACAGGAACATTCCCAACCAAAACTTGGTCTTGGTGTACATTTTAAATGGTATTTTCCTATGGCCGAAGAGCAAAACAAGTCATTTAGCACGTTGAAAGTGCCTGGCAGCCAATATTAACTGATTCAGACGATCTTATTTCTTCTTTATAGGAAGAAGAAAATCACAAGGGAAACCTTCAAAGGTAAGTAAGACTGATGAAAACAATAGTCGGCTACTGAAATTAAAACCTCTTGGTCTTAAAATTCCATCTTGTTGCCGCAGTCTGTGGTAACACTGTCTTGAGAATGACTTAAAGTAAGACTTCTGAATAAGTAGTTGCTTTATTATTATTGATTTCATAAATATGGCATTTTCTATTATTAGCAATAGAAAGGCCAGAGACACACTGTACTCATGTGGGTGTTAGTGTCATGATGAGAACAGTTACAGTTGTGTATTGTGTATATAAAGGAATGTTATGTCCAGTGGTTTCTGGAAAGTCCACAGAAACCTCCTGCTTCTCATTTAGTCTGGAAAGACTCCCTCTTGATGTGCTGTGAGACATTTTATATACTGTGCATTTAAAGCTCTGCCCGGAGGATTTACTAAAATATTTCCCGGCAGTAAACCTTGAAGTAAATACAAAGTAAGTGATGTTGGTGATGTTAGTTATCATCTATTTTAGGTCATTTGTATGATAGGATATATCTGAAAAGACATATCTAAGCAAATTTGTTTAAACACTAAAAATAGACAACTGAGTGGAAAGATTTCCTGTACACAGCCCCCCCACCCCCCAATCCCCCCACAAATGCTTTTTCTTTATAGATGAACACATGCTATTTCCACCACAGGAAACTTCTCCTCAGGGCAGTCTGCTGTTTCCAGATCTCCTCATCCCTGGTTTCCCTATGAACTTCAAGTCCATAAATTACTGTCTTCTTCCCATTTTGCCCTGTATTTGGTTCATCCAAAACCACCCAAAATGCCTGTGGTGCATTTCTGTCCTTCAGACTCTGTCTTGTCTGGTCATTCTCGGACAGTCCAGCGCCGCATTCGAGAACTAGAGCCTGGTTTCAAATGCACATCTGCCTCTTGCCAGCCATGTGCCCTGGGGTGAGTTAGGTGACACCCTGTGCCTCAGTTTCCTCATCTGTAAACAGAAGGCTTTTCAATTTCTTTACAGCTTAAATGTGTTTCTACACATGAAACAAAGCAATGCCTGACACAGAGTAAACAGTCAGCAAAGTTTAGCTATCTTCACAGAGCTCTTCCCTGCATAGTAGCTCTTATTTTTTTTATCTTTTTTTAAAGTGTATTTATTTTTTGTAGTAATCGCTATACCCAACATGGGACTTGAACTCCCCACCCCGAGATCAAGAGTCATACACTCCACCGATGGAGCCAGCCAGGTGCCCCCTATTTTTTATATTAATTGCTGCTACTAATTTCAAAAGTCATACTTAGAAAAGTTCATCTTAAATTAACTTATATATCGGGGCACCTGGTTGGCTCAGTCATTAAGCGTCTGCCTTTGGCTCAGGTCATGATCCCAGGGTCCTGGGATGGAGCCCTGCGTCGGGCTCCCTGCTCCACATGAAGCCTGCTTCTCCCTCTCCCTCTGCCGCTCTGCCCACATGTGTTCTTTCTCTCTAGCTCTCTCAAATAAATGAATAACCTCTTTTAAAAAAACCTTACCTATCAAAATGTCCAAGGTAAGAACATGTGTTGTCCCCACCATCCCCTTCTCCCTCTTGCTTCTAGCAGTTTCCTGTCTTCCCTCTGGACTTTCTTCTGTGCACCCTCACGTGCTGGCACGTTTCCAATGTGTCCTGGTTTCGTATCTGTCTTGCTTTGGCCATTGCTAAGGCTGATGTGTTCCCTTTCTCTGCCCACATCACCTCTATTCCACGAAATCCATCCAAGGGCTGGAGGCAGAAAGGCCCCACGCAGGTGCACTGGCTTACCTCTGAGGGTAGTTCCTCAGTGGGCAGAAACGGGGCTTAGACGAGCTGTGTCCAAGAAACGCAGAAAGGATTGGGGTTTCAGTACCTACAGAGCACTTCCAGCCCCCAGAGAACAGCGTTCTGAAGCTCATTTTTCCTTTAAGATTTTATTTATTTGAGAGAGAGAGCATGCATGCACTCACAAGTGGGGGCAGGGGCAGAGGGAGAGGGAGAAGCAGGCTCCCCGCTGAGCAGGGAGCCCGACGCGGGGCTCGATCCCAGGACCCTGAGATCATGACCTGAGCCGAAGGCAGACGGTTAACTGACTGAGCCACCCAGGCACCTGAAGCTCATTCTTAATTCAGCAACTCCTTGACTTGGCCAGAGGCTAGAAGAGAAAAATCACACTTACCGGAAATTGACCCATCCCTTCTATTTCTTTTTATTTTCAGGGCTAGTTGTAGCCAGCTTTCTATTATTCACTGGGCCATGGGAGGGTTTGTAGATTATTTCTAACAAAAAAATACCACTAACTTTTGCCCCTAGTGAGAAATAACAAGATAGAAGCCCTACTGGTATCATTTGTAGCCTGCTCTCTTTTACCAGGGTGGCGACCACAATGGCATGTGTCTCCAGGGTGAGGGCAGGCACCCAGGGCTTTGCCTGTTCTGTGGGCCAATCCATGCGGCACACAGACCCCAATTCTGGTCTCACCATCATTAATGGTTTCTGCAGTGAAATGTGGCCCGTGTACTCTCCATCTGGGACCCGTTTGGCAGCACCTGTGCTGGTCTGAAGCCCTAGGTATTTAAACTTCTGTTTGGGGTGTGCAGATATGAATATGTTCTATGAGAAAGTGGTCCAGTTGCAGAGACAGTGAATCTGCGTATGCACCACCCCTGCCCCAGCAGGAGGGATTTCTGGCCAGAGGGTCCAGGCCTGAGCCTCCTTCCTGGCCGCCCCTGCTTTGCCCTGGGTGGGTTGACAAGCTGCCTGAGCGCTCCAGCAACCTCCTCTCTTAGCATTTTGGAATCCCCAACACCCCATACGGTGCCTGCCCTGGCCTATAGGAGGCAGTCAGGAAATTCATACCAAATAGAAATATATTGAATGAAAGCACATATATAGGGAGGAATCTACATCCAAATCCACATCCATCAGGCAGCACTTACCCAAACCTGGCTGTTCCTTTAGCTCACGCATCTTCACCCTCCCATGTGTTTGTGTGTCTGCAGGCATCTTCTTCTTGTCCAGGAATACAGGGAGAGCAAGAACACAAGACAGGCTGGGCTGTACAGGAGGGAGCAGGGGGAGGGAAGAACCGAGCCCTGGTGGTGGATTTCGACAGAGCCGGATGGAGTTTCCGTTTGAAGTCGTTTTTGGAAATTACATGCCCACCTGTCACACCTTCCACCTCCCTTCTTTGCTCCACATCTTCCATTTGGCCTCTGGAGATGGCAGTCAGTACAGTTGACCCCTGAACAACATGGATTGAACTACATGGGTCCACTTAGATGTGGACTTTTTCCAGTAAATACAGGATAGTGCTGTAAATGTATTTTCTCTTCCTTATGGTTTTCTTAATATTTTCTTTCTTTAGCTTATTTTATTACAAGAATACAGTGTTTAATACATACACAAAGTATGTGTTAATAGACTGTTTATCTTATTGATAGGGCTTCCGTTCAACAGTAAGTTATTAGTAGTTAAGTTTTGGGGGAGTCAAAAATTGTACGTGGGTTTTCGACTGCACGGGGATTGGACCCCCTAACTCCTGTTGTCATTCAAGGGTCAACTGTACTTCACTGGAATTAGAGGATGAGGCTGGCGGGAGAACGGTCATCAGGTGATAGCTGTGATGTGGTGGTATCCAACCCCCTCCGCGTATACCATTTGCTGGCTTGGGATCAGGCCGGGGCTGTGTTCTGTCAGTAATGCGAGCACCTACTGCAGTGCCTGGGACTCAGGAAACCCCTAGTAGGTTAGGAATCGGAGGCACTCATCAGCCAGGTGTCCTTGCTATGGAGCATCCACAGGCCAAAATGAAAGCATTCCAAAGTGGGTTTATATTTTATTTTACATTTTATTTTATTATTTCATTTTATTTCATTTTTTAAGCCCCAGGTGATTCCAGTGTGCAGTGACATTTGGGAACCACTAGGTTAAGAAATTCTCTACTGGTGGGTTTGGAAGTCACCTCTCATGTGGGCAGGACACGCGTGCCTGCCCCAGGTCAGAGGTGGCAGGTGAGCACGCTTCCTGGCTGGCAGGCAGCTGACATCGTCTTCTCTCCCACTTTTCCCAGGGCTGTGTCTGTGTCCTCCATGTCTGAGTTCCAGCGTCTGATGGACGTCTCTCCCTTCCTGCCGGAGAAGGGCCTGCCGGCTGCCAGCAACAAGGAGGACATCACCCCGCCCCTGTCTCCGGACGACCTGAAGTACATCGAGGAGTTCAACAGCAAGAGCTGGGACGAGAGGGCCCCAGAGCCCTGGGCAGACAGGACCGAGGGAGGGCGGGCAGGGAATGAGGCCAGTGCCGAGCCTTTCCCCAGCTCTTCCTGGTACCTCACCACGAGTGTCACCATGACCACGGACACCGTGACCAGCCCAGAGCACTGCCAGAAGCAGCCCCTACGGAGCCACGTGTGCACCGAGCAGGCTGGGCTGCGGGTGCTGCACAGCCCGCCCGCCGTCCGCAGGCTGGACAGCATCATGGCGGCAGGGGGTGAGGGCAAGGGCCGGTCAGAGCCTGAGTGCCGGTTTCCCACAAGCAGAGCCAGGGTGGGCGCTGAAGACACAAAGGGGGGTCCCTCAGAACATGTGCTTAGCAGGTGGCCTTGTGCCCCCTCCAGATACCCCCGAGACTATGTGGAGGGAGGGCTGCACCCCCTCGAAAGTGCCCTCTGCACTCCCCTGGGGTTTGTCTCCCCACTACACAGCCTGCAGATGGCCAAGAACATGAGTGATGACATGAAGGAGGCGGCCTTCTCCGTCAGGAACGCCATATGCTCTGGTCCCCCCAAGCCTCCACTCAAGGACATGGCCTGCCAGACCAATGGGTCCCGGACAACGGGGACACAGACCGTTCAGACCATCAACATTGGCCTGCAGACCGAAGCCCTGCGTGGCAGCGCCATCACCAGCAGCCCCCACAAGTGTCTCACGCCAAAGGCAGGGGGTGGTGCCACGCCCGCGTCATCTCCTTCCCGCGGCCTTAGGAGCAGGCAGGTGGCCCCCGCCATTGAGAAGGTGCAGGCCAAGTTTGAACGCACATGTTGCTCCCCCAAGTACGGGTCTCCCAAGCTGCAGAGGAAGCCCCTCCCCAAAGCCGAGCAGCCAAATAGCAGGACCTCCCTGGGGCTGGCTCCAAAGGGGTGCAGCGAGTCGGCCTGGGCCCGCTCCACCACCACACGAGAGAGCCCTGTGCACACCGCCATCAACGATGGCCTCTCCAGCCTCTTCAACATCATCGACCACAGCCCCGTGGTACAGGACCCCTTCCAGAAGGGAACGCGGGCGGGGAGTCGGTCTCGCTCAGCAGAACCTCGGCCGGATCTGGGCCCAGGCCAGGAAACCAGCCCCAATTCCCGGGGACGGTCCCCCAGCCCCATTGGGGCTGGCTCAGAGACGTGGAGGGAGGAAGGGGGAGAGGGCACGCCCTTGAGGCAGGACTTATCTGCTCCCCCTGGTTACACGCTCACCGAGAATGTAGCCCGGATCCTCAACAAGAAGCTGTTGGAGCATGCCTTAAAGGAGGAGAGGAGGCAGGCCCCCCACGGGCCCCCAAGTCTTAACAGTGACAGCCACATGGGAGAAACAGTCAAAGCTGAACCAGGGTCCATTGAGGTAATAAGGCTGAGTATTCCAACTCTCACCCCACCAGCTCTTCTGTTTAAATGCCAGGAAAACATGTGTAAACCTGGGGTTTTGCTAGGTCATCTGATTTCAAGAATCCTTATCCATAATAGGTTCTTGTGAGCTGGGAAGATACAGGGTTTATGGGAGAATGGGATAGGCAGAAACACAAGCCCTGAGCTACTCCTAAAGAAAAGTTCATATTATTGTCCTCAGTGATCTCTTCTTGAAGATGTAGCTCGAGGTTTGATTCAGGTTCTCTGGTCTGGTGTAGGTGATTGATGCTCATCTGTCTATCTGGGCCTTTCACTTGGGGTTATAATTTGCCCTCTTTCTGTGTGAATTTGTGTCCTAGAAAAGTGTATGTGTGAAGTGCGTGAGAGTCCCATCAGGCCTGCGTGCTCCAGATCTTTATCCAGGGCAACACAAGAGGTTGCCGGAGAGGGTGTGATAGTGTGGATACTAGAACATCCTTCATCAGGAATGTACGAGAAGGTCTGGATTCCAATGCTGACTTCAGTACAGAATAGCATTCCTCTGTCTCACAAATCCCATGCCCCCTGCGACCATGAATCTCCCTGGCCATAAAACCAGGTGAGACAGATGGATAAGATCAAAATCCTGCCTTCATACGATGTGATCATTACTATTGTCCCCCTTACATCTCTCATCATCACACTATATAGGACCACACATCCCGGTACCTATTATTACTATGCGATTATTACTACATCCCCCTTAGCATTATTCACCGGTCAGTCAGTGATGAATTTTGTTCTCACACGTTTCCACACGCAGTATGTCCATACCACACCACTTTAAAAACAATCCGCGTTTCCACTTCAGGAATGAGCGAAACAAAGCCTGACGGTAAAGCTGGGACCGAAGGCGTGGGGCTGCGGGCCTGATGCGGTGAGACCGCGCACGGTCCCGTCTCCGTCAGACACTGTTCGGCCCGGGATCCCGCGTGCAGACTGGAGGGTGAGGCCGACTCACCACTAGCCCAGATGGACAGACTCCACACCCGTGGAATCCAGACACCCCTAACCATTCTCCAGGCGGCTCCTGCAGATGGCAAGGGTCGGAGAGGAGAGACACACACTCCTTGGGCTGCAGCCCTGCTCTCCGCCATGGCCCAGGCAGCCCTGGCTTCACAGGTGCGGAGACGAGGCAGGTGTGTTTCCACATTTCCCTGGTGGAGGGGTGGGGGGGTGGTCAGTGGCTTCCAGGCTAACCCACCAAGTGGTAGTCAGCTCAAAATATAGAGTTTAAACCACGTGAGATTGCCAGTGACCTACAGAAATGGCAATTGCCATTTCATTCAACCTAATATTAATAGTATATTGGCCATGTTCTGAACATACGAGTCTTTGTTATACAGTTGTTTACATGCTCTGAGAAGAACAAATACCAAGGTTGAGAGTTCTCGGGTGACAAATGGTGTCTTCTGCGGGCTTCTGTTACCCCTATCCTTCCAGGGGCCTGAGGTAGGTGACTCACTACTGCAGAGGGCTTATTTGTGTGAATGCCCCACCTTCTTCAGGCTCTGGAGGAATCCGGGGAAATGAGGGCTCTGTCCCAAAGCATTAACTGGCTGTGTCTGCAGTGTCCATTAATGTTAGAAACTGAAGAGAAATTAATGTTTAGGAACCAAAAAGGGCTTTGAGTTACACTGCTCCAGGCAATCTATGATAGTAGAAAGACAACCGCTTAATGGCTAAATCACAGCTCCAAGGCATGAAAACAGTTTTATAAGGACAGAACTGTGCCTGTCCCCCTGCCACTTAGGTCCTCTGTAAAGTGTCTGTTTAGATTTTCTTCTCACTGGGTGTGTTTGCTACCAAAGAGATGATTGGCCAAGTTGGGGGGGATTCAGAACCTGTGTGGAGCCCTCACTGGCAGAGAGTAAATGTTGTAGTCTCTTTTTTCCTTTTCTGTTGGAATTTTGCTTCCTCTAGATTCCAGTGAAGTTCTTCCTTGTCTAAACTGACTTCCTATATTAGGCCCATTGGAAATCCCTTCCCATCACTCTATAAATTATGTAGTAAGTAGTTCTGGGTTTTCATTCCAAAATCACCAGAACTAATGCAGATTATCCAACCTGCCCAGAGCGCCTGGCTGTGGGCCCTTCCCTGAACACTCCGCCTGGCGGGGGGGCACAACAGTAAATCTCCTTCGTCTTTTCTCGCTCCCACCCCATGGCTATATTTCTTTTTCTCTTGAAGCTGTAGCACCAGCTCTACCCTGCAGAGAAGCTAAGAGGGGAGTTATGGGGTGAAAGAAAAGAATAATCTGGAAATGCAGTGCTATTCTTCCCTCCCAGGTCTAGTGGACAATACAAGGGGAAATTTTCAGCGTGAGCAATGGCCACGGGATCACTGTGACTAAAACAGACCATTTAATCCTCTGTTTCAAATACAACAGTCATGTGACTTCCATCTCCATGCACGCCAAAGGGTTTCTGAAATGTGAAATGCTAAAGGGCAAATCAGGGAAGAACAGAAAGCAGAAGGGAGAGGTCTGTTGCTATTCTGTCCTGAGAGTCCTTCTGTGCTCCAGACTACCTGGACCCAGGCAGAGAGAGGCCTGTGTATGTGCGAGGGCACCTGCCGGCTTCTGCGGGCCTCACGTTTCTCCTGATAGCTGTCCCTGGACCTGCCACCAGGCTTGTTGACTTTAAACCTTTACTGTTCTTTTTAAAAAAATACTTTCCAACCTACTTGCTTTTCTTTTCTTTCTCTGTCTGTTCTGTCCAGAACCAAACTGTCTTACTAACTGCCCCATGGGGACTCTAGCCCTGCCTGCCTCACGCCGTAAGTGCTTTCTTCCTTCTTTGCACACCGTCTGGAAAGGTCCTCTGTGTAATTTGGGGTTGGTATCTGACATTCAGAAATGAGGCTGAATCATACCGGGTATATCTGCTCTGTCCATAGAGCCCGCCAACTGCTTGCACTGGCCTGGGGTCCATAAAATTCAGGGACTGATTGGTAGGCCTAGACATTCCAGAGATTTCTGCTCTCTCCTTTCAGAGGGGTAAAGGGATATTGGCCAGAGAGGGGACTTTCTCAGGCACAGAGGCCTAGTCTGTGAGCCCAGTGTTTTCCCGGTCAGCCTGCACCTGCTCACTGGTATTCTGGAGGCACATGCACACCACCAGATGCTGTAATGAAGTGTGACCTTAACACAATGAAGCTTTTCTCTCTTTTTCAACAACTGCACCAGAAGGAATAAATCCAAATGTATCTTGTCCTTCCAAGTGATCACCATAGGTGACATAGTAAGCACTCAATAAATATTTGTTGGATGAAATCAACAACAGAGCCATCACTTGTTCCCAAAAAATAGCCTCAGAATTGCCGTCTGAGCCTGAATCGAGGCTGAAAAAATACCAACTTATCATTTGATCAAGAATTAGTCGCCCACCCACCTCACCCACTGGTCTTAACTTGGAGTGCTAAATGCAAAAATGCGATTGGCTCTCAAAGACGGAAAAGATGCTCCCAAGATAAAATGGCCACATAGCCCATTGCAGTAGCCTCTCAGTGAAGGACAAGATCGTTTGCTTGTCTGTGCTCATGTGTTACTAAAGAAAAAGCTCATTCTTGAACCTGTGGTCACACAGTTCTTCCTATAGGGGTTCACACGGGGAAGAGGTGGCACCACACTGTCCAATCAAAAGCCCGTTCTGGTTCAGCATCCACCAGGTGGAAAAGGGCTGCAGTGGTGTAGGAAAAAAACCTACGGTAGCAGCCATCCCAACGTTCAACACCCTGCCACACGTGTAACACACACCACATACTCATAGACAGCACATGCAGCACACAACACTCATGCACAAGATGACCCACAACGCACACACAGCGTATCCTCATACATGGCACATACAACACAACACTCCTACACAACATGATGCTACACATACACAACATACTTATACACTACACAACACACACACAATACAACACACAAATCTTAATACCGGGAGCAGAGACAGAAAAAGTAAAGCGGTGGCAGATTTCCCAAGCCCCGCATCAGTGGTGCATGCTCACGGAAGGGCTGAGGTGAGGGCAGGACAGCTTGCCCCGCCTAGTTTGCATTTCAGCTATTTCAGGCCGGGCTTCGTGGGCGAGGTCTTCCTGGTTGCCATGGTTCCCATCAGCAGAGTGCTTTGCTAATCAAGGCTTCCCCATCCTCTGCTACGACGTGTAGTCACAAAGAGGCCCGGACGGTTAGGAGTAGTCTCCAGTGTTCATGCCATTTTCCGCTGGGCCCAGGGGGAGGCAGGGACCACCTCACTCCATCACTCTTCCAGAAGCACCATGCCGGTGCTCCACCTTTCGCCTTTCCTCTTCCCCCTCTTTCTCCCACTGCTCATCGACACAGCCCACCGTCTGGTCTCTGCTATCACTCCGTGCTCCGCAGACCGTCCTCATCCTGGCCTCTGTGCGCTTGCTCGTCACATCTCTGTCATTCCGCTGCCACCCTTCCTGACAGGCTCTGAGCACCTGTGTTCTCTGTCATTCTTCATTGCAGTGGCTTACCATCTCGGCTTTTTCTCATCTGAGTGTCCCTTGGGCGGCCGGGTTCCACCCCATGGAACTCACCGTTTCCTCACGCCCCCCCCACCAACCTCCCGGTCACCAGCATGCTCCAGGTGTGGGCATCCTTGGTTCCTATCTTGCAGACTAAGTAGCTCGACACTCATTAACACTAGAAAAGGAGCACAGGCCCTTGAGAAGAAGTATGATAGGTGTTTGGGCCCCCGGTTGAGTGTGTCGTGCATGATCTGTTCTCAGAAGGCGTAGGATGCCCGTGACAGAAGCACAAGCACTCTGATTCCACTTTTTAAAATGCTGCAGCAAGGAAGAGTCGTTAAAGAAAACTAGGCCGAAGTTAAAATTTCTGCCTGCAGCATTTTTTCCATGTCGTGGGAGTTTGTTTAACCCACTGCCAGTCAACTTGGAATAAGTAGTAGCAGAGTTTGTTTTAAGGTGTCTTGTTGCTAATGCAGCTGGATAAATCCTGGGTCTCTTCATGGGCCTCCAACAAGACCAAAGCATAGGGAGGCTGGCCTCTCAGGGCTGGGTCACTGTGGCTAGTAGATCATTCAGGAGGGCCAAAAGGTTGGGGTCAGCTGGGTCAGGATGTGACCAGGTGGCCTGTGGCTTTCCCCACCTTCCATCGGCTCCAGCCCAGTTCTGAAGATGATGCATAAACATATCCATCTCACAGCATTGCCATATTTTGATCATAATTTGCTATCTTCTCATTACTGTGCCACTGATCATCCGAGTTGAATTTTTCACTTAACATTTTAAATTATCCTCCCCAAGCAAATATAAATTAACATTCTGAAGTTGCCCCTGATCGATCCATTGCATTGACCTCGAGTCTTTTGAGAAGTGTGTTTGGGGAGAGTCACTCCCCCCCCTCCCGGAGGAACTGTCAGTCTGAGTAACCCTGTCTTTCTCTTTCTCGGCTTTGAAGGAACTACCTTGTTCTGCACTAGCTCCATCCCTAGAACCCTGCTTCTCCAGGCCCGAGAGACCAGCAAACCGTCGCCCTCCGTCCCGTTGGGCCTCCCATTCCCCTACTGCCTCACCGGCTCAGTCACCCGGAGACCCAGCCTTGTTGGAGGAGCTCGGCGACGAGGAGCCACCCGGGGAGAATACACACGTGTGACGAGTGCAAGTTTGCATGGATTATTGGGGAATAATTCCCTGTAATTTGCATAACCACACCGTACTCATCAACCAAGCTCCGCCCACAAGAGGAGATCTAGCTTTCCCAAGGTCAAAGAATGTTTTTTAAAAAACACACAGCTGCTGAATGTCCAACCTGTGAACCTGAGATGTTTCTAGAACGAAACCGTAAACGTGCCTGTAATAACTTAATTTTTTTCATAGCTCAGAAAACTATTTTTGTCTCCATCTTTTTTACACAGTATATTAAAAAAAGCTAGATAAGATATAAATTTAAAAAATAAAAGTTTTAAAGATGTACATTTTAAGAGATTCTGAACGCCCTTGCTCTCAATACTGACTGCCTCTGTGTTAAATTTGCACTGTTACACTTTGGTTTGGTTTATTTCCACGTTGAATTAGACTGTTTTAAGTTAATTTTATTTTGTCAGTGTTTTTGTTTTTTAAGAATTTTTTGAAATGCTTCAGACTGTCTGATTCAATGAACTTTTTGTAGTGAAAGAGCCATGAAGCCAGTCGACAAGACGGAAATCCTCTCTACGGGAGGGGATACACATCTGCATTCTTGCAAAGGTACAGAGTCCTCAGCTGGGCTTACCAAATTCGCTGTATAATCCACATCCTCTACTCGACTTGCACGTCTTTGGGTTCGAAGAGCTCGGGTGCATGTACATATTGCTACTGTGGTCTCACCATCACGTAAGTGTGAGTCATCTGTCCCACCGTAATACGTTGTGAATCCCTCATACTGTACTTTTATCATTGCCCTCTTGCATCGAGATACAACAGCAATGGCATTTTTAAATTATTGTTAATGATGAACTGGCAATATACAGTGTTTATTCAAAATTTTCTTGTTTAAGGAAAAGCACTACAAAAAGTCAGGAGGGTACCACACTGAATCAAAGGATGGTGCCTCGGAGTCTGTATGAGACCATGATGAAGTAGAAATAAAGCCTTTACAAGATGGCGGCCTGTGCCGGGACCTCATGTTTCATGTGCCCTGCATCCTCTCCTAAGGGCTCAAGTGACAGTTTTCCTAGCCAGGGGAATGAGGGAAAGGGGAGGTCCTGCTACTAACACACCTCACCTAATTAACACACCATGAGTGTGTGGTGTGCCACAGCTTCCCTGTTCTCTGTAAGAGCGTCCTGGGGTTGATGAAAAGGTGACTTCGTTGTGGTTGAAAACATGGCGGGCGTGGAGGTGTGAGGGAACTGTTACCCACAAGTCCAAATGTTGCCCGACCTCCCTCCCTCTCCCCTCCTTGGGAAAGTGGGAGTGGCCAATCACCTGGCCGGTGCTTCCCTCCCTGACTGAGAGATGTCACCCGGCCTGTCAGTAGGTGATGGAGTAGGGGTTTTTAAAGAGGTGATGCTGCCAAAGAGCATAAGAACTACTTCACGCCGAATGTCCTTCTCTAGACTTGCTGACAGAATAAGCTCTGTTCCCAGTGTTACCACAGTTCCGCCTTTAAATATTTTCCCCCAAAATAGAAAATGCCAGCTATCGGTGAGAACGTGGAGACACTGGAACCCTGGGGCACTCCTGGGGCAGCCACTGTGGAGAACAGCATGATGGGTCCTGAAGGGAAACCAAATCATCTGTGCTCCAGCAGCTGTGGTCATAGCCCAGAAAAATAGAAAGCTGGGACTTGAACAGCTATCTGCACACTGATGTTCACAGCAGCGTGATCCACAAAGCCAACCAGTAGAAACAACCTGTCAGGGAGCGAATAAACGAGATGTGGTCTCTCCACACAATGGAATACTGTGCAGCCTTAGAAAGCCAGGAGATTCTGGCACATACGTGCTGCCTATCACATGCACCAGTCTTGAGGATGCTATGTTAAGTGAAAGGAGCCGCTCAATCACAAAATAACAAATACTGTATGGTTCCACTTCTAAGAAGTACCTAGAGTAATTAAATTCATAGATACAAAAAGTAAGATAATAGTTACCAGGTTATAAGGGGAGAGGAAAGAACAAGGAGTTAGTGTTGAATGAGTACAGTTTCTGTTTGGGATGATGAAGTTCTGGAAACGGATGGTGGTGATGGTGGCTCAACAATATGACTGTACTTAATACCCCTGAACTCTACACTTAAAATGATTAAAATGGTATATTTTACCAGAATAACGATTTTTAATGCAAAAAATACTCCACCTAACTACTCTAGACATAGGTGCAAACAAACTAACAAGTCAACAAACCTTACTTTTGTGCCTATCCTGTGCCCACGGTAAATGCTGGAAGGTGCATTAGTGTTTCTCCAGTTGGAAGCAACCAGCCAGCAGAAAGAAGGGAAATCGTTGGCACTCATAACTGGAAAAGTGCTAGAAGTGCAGTCACAATCCAGAGCCTCCAACAGCGCCATCAGGATTCTGCTCCCAACAGTCAGCTACAGTGGCCCCCAGCAGCTCCTATTTGTTGCCCAACTCCTGGAGAAAGAAGATCTCTTACCAGTGGCTCCAGCAAAAACCCCAGGAGTCCTAAATCTCATGGGTCTCCTGTAACTCACATGTCGTTCCCTGAGCCAACTGCTGACAGATTTGCCCAGCAGAGAAGAACCAGGGGGCTGGCAGAATAGAGGCGAAGGTGCCTGGCAGGAGCGAGGGCGGTGTGCCCCAGAGGGAACGTGCTGTCTGGTTTCAGTGAGAAGGCAGGAGAGGTTGTTGGGTTGGGAGACCAATAGGAGCAGAGGTGGTGGCAGTAAGTACATCAGATGGGAGCAGTGACAGGCTCATGGGGCTGGAAGCAGACCCTGGAGTGAGCAAAGCCACACCATGCAGTGCCTTGAAAGCCAGTTTGGAACTTCTCTGACTGTCCAATTTTCTAATAGTTGGGGGTATGTATGCTTGAGTCCATTTGTTGTGGAACTACTCCAACTCCTGCAAAAGCAAGACAGTAAGTCAGATGAAATCATGTTCTAGACTCCTGTCCAGATGAATGCCTTGGGCAGCTAAGTGGGTAATGCTGGGCTCTGAAAGGGGAGCAGGTGCATCAGGGGCCAGCCTGCAGGGAGTGTCTGTTAATATCTTCAGGAGCTGTCCTCAATATGCCACTTGCTTTTATGTCCTGAAGAAAGAGGCAGAGGCAGATTCCTGGAGCCCAGCTAGCAGCCCTCACTCGCGGGGCCTGCCCTGCCCATTGGGCTGGGACCAGCACCAGCCGCCCAGAGACAGATCTCCTCAAACTGTACTCGACCTGGGCTTTTTTTTTTTTTTAATATCTGTGCATTCCCTAATATTAATTTTTATTTAGTACATTTGTGTTTCAGTCTTTTTTTTTTTTTAAAAGATTTTATTTATTTGAGAGACAGAGAGGGAGCACAAGAGGGGGTAGGGGGAGAGGGAGAAGCAGGCTGCCCACTGAGCAGGGAGCTCGACACGGGGCTCCATCCCAGGCGCTTGGGATCATGATCTGAGCTGAAGGCAGATGCTTAACCAATTAGCCACCCAGGTGCCCCTCAGCGTCTTTTAAAATTAAACTTGCCAGAATTGAGCATATTTATTTTGTTCAAAAAGTAGCTGAGGACAGCTATTATTTTCTATTGTCTAACTCACTGATTTTTTTTTAATTGTAAAATACACATAACACAAAATTTACCATTTTAACCATTTTAAAGTATACAATTCAGTGGCCTTTAGAGCATCCACAATGTTGTGCAGCCATCAGCATTGTCAAAACCCAAAACATTGTTCAGCCCCCCGAAAGGAAATAAACATTTGGCAGTCATCCCCCCAGCCCTTGGCACCCATGACTCTGTTTTCAGTCTCTGTGGATTTGCCTATTCAGGATATTTCATATAAATGGAATCACACAATATGTGGCCCTTTTTGTCAGGCTTCTTTCACTTAGTGTAGTGTTTTTCTTTTTCTTTTTCTTTTTTTTTTTTTTTTGAGGATTTTATTTCCTTTTATTTGACACAGAGACAGAGATAGAGAGCCTAAGCAGGGGGAGCAGCAGGCAGGCAGAGGGAGAGGGAGACGCAGACTCCCCACCGAGCAGGGAGCCCGATGCAGGGCTCCATCCCAGGACCCTGAGATCATGACCCTGAGCCGAAGGCAGATGCTTAACCAACTGAGCCACACAGGCGCCCCTAGCGTAGTGTTTCCGAGGCTCAGCCATACTGTAGCACGCATGCGTCAGTGCTTCGTTCCTTTTATAGTTAGACGCTATTACATTGTATGGATGCACTTACATGTTGTTTACTCATTCATCAGTTGATGGTAACGTGTCTATTTGTAAACCAAAAGGACATGCTTTGGCTATTTTAAGCAACCTTCAGCATTCCCCAGTTGCCAAAAAGGAGGCAATTCATGAATAATTAAGACACTTATCAATCAACTTACAGCACTGAGGCACTTTGGTGTCTTTGACTTTTAGGCATAGTTGTTTTCACAAGGCCCCCAGTACGTCTTCTGCTCACCTTGCTTGTCTTTGGTTTGCATTTAGTCCTTTCCACATCTTTCTTTGAATGCAGTGTGCACTGGAAACCAGTATAGCAAGAAATCAGGCTGAGTCATAAGCGAGCTGGGTGTTTGAATGGATCTGATGACACTGGGTCTTTAATACACCCTGAGTCACTAGAATCAGTGTGGCACCGCGAGTGGAAAAATCTGGATTTGAATTATGGTTTGAACACTTAAAGTAGTACAACCTTGGGCCATCTCTTGAAGACTCATTTGAAAAACAGCAACAATAATACCTACTTCCCAGGCTTATAAGGATCAAGGTTTATTGTGTGCAAGATCCTCTGCTAGGGGTTGCGAACACCAGACATGAACAGAAAAGACAAGCTCCTGCTTTTGCCGAGCTTCTGTTTAGTGATGAGAACCTGGAAAACAGAGGTGGGAGTGTGGTGTAGACATACTGAAAGGCTCCCCTAGGGAGATACCGCTTGAGCAGAGGAAGGAGCAGCTGTCGGCTGCAGGTGGGCAGAGGGACTAACCGGTGCAAAGCTGGGATGAGGAGTGTGCATGCGCCCAGCCTGTTTCGAGAAGTGGAAGGCCATCGTAGCCTGTGCAAGAGGGAGAGAGACCAGGGAGCTTGGGAGAGGCCCCGTGGCCCACAGGAGAGTGTTCGGATTTTCAGCTAGGTGGGGGAAAAAAATCCACTGGAAGATAATTAAATCAGGGGAGTTACTTTTTTAGAAGATTACTGTGATATAAGAATAAGAACAGGGCAAGGTTGGAAGGCATCCTGGTCAGACAGTTGTGTTGACCCAGAGAAGCCATGATGGTTTTTAGCTCCTGTTCTTATTAGCCACGTCACCACCAGGATCGCCACCTGCTGCTCGTCAAGAACCGGGCTTTAGAATCTGCTGCTGAGGATTCTGCAGGCCCCACCGCCAAGCTCCAGGATCTACCCCCGTGGTTCTGATAAAAACTGAAGGAAGCCCTTATTTATTCTGTGGCCTCTCAGGCTGGGCCAGCAGTCCTGCCCATAGCCTCCGGCCCTGAAGAACCGGTCTTCCCTCTTAGCTCCCATCCCTTCAGGGGCAGAAAAATCGCACAGCAAGGTTCGTATTCCCATGTTGTTGCATTTTGTTTTGTTTTTAAGCTCTGATCTTTCACAAGGAAGTTGGCACTTCTGAGCTATCATCCATCATTTGTAATTTAATAGAAGCGGCTTGTCTCTGTAGGGGGAGGACTGAGGACTCCAGGCCCCGGGGTGGTTGAGGAGGGCTGGGGAGGCAGTGATAGGGGCTGAACAACCTTATCTAAAAGAACAGGATAGGAACACAAAGTGAGCCAACGTTGTTTTTCCTAGGCCAGATTCCATCCATTAGATTGAACGAACCCACTCCATTCCAATGACAGAAGCTTCTGTAACTTCCCAGTGAGCTAATAAACTTCAGCAGGGTTCCAGGACTCCAAACCTCATCATCCCCACAGTAATCCTGGAACGATTCATCATTCATCAACCCACGGCCAGCACTGGCACCCTCTAAATTCACTTTTAACG